AAACTACGTGTCTGTTGACCTGGAGTTTTTCCTGCTGAACCACACTGTAGACATCTGTATCTTTCAGAAACCTACACCACGTCCAGAATCCAAGTATGAACTTACACTGAATGTTCTTCCTGTCTGTCTCTCTTTCCCTCTTGATGTTCTCGTCCACAGTGGAAGGAGGCAAAGCCTGAAGAGCTGATGGATTCAAAGTTGAGATGTGCATTTGAGATGCCTCTAGAAAATGACAAAACTGTAAGTCTCACACTTTGGTTAATGGGCATTTGTTGTGCTACTCTTAAGCATTCAGTTATTAAGTTTTCTCACATCCCCATCAGATCTACAAACATGGAAATGTTGCATCATGTATTTTAGATTTTAGATCTTAGAGTAAAATCACATTAAAACACATTCACATTGCATGTTTCCTTTAGTTTTTTCCCCAGTATTTTCTCAGTGTCCTACTCATTAGCATAACACCTCACTGTATCACCCATTACATGCTTATTTATTTATTCATTTATGATTTATTTGTTTGGACTTTCATCTCACTCCCTATCATGTGTCTGCACGTCTCTTCGCCCCCTTCCGTCCCCTCCCTCTACTCTCACCTCACCACCCTCCCCCACCCTCACTCTCTCTCCACAGCATGAGAGTGAAAGCAAAACTGTGTCTTCCTCTGCCTCCTCTGTTAAGACTGAGCACTCCGCTCTGCCCAAGTCGGCCAGCGCCTCACTGGATGACGGAGAGGTGAAGAAGATCATGGAGGAGTGCAAGCGGCTGCAGATGGAGGTGCAGAGGCTACGGGAAGAAAACAAACAGATAAGGGTGAGGTGCACAAAAAAAGGGATAATCTGTCTGTTTTCTTTCACCCTTTTATTTTCTACTGAAATGACAGAGGAAAAAACAATATCATTTAAATGAAGGCTACCTTAAAGCTAGAGTCAAATGTGTATTTTGTAGCGTTTGACAAGCGCTGCACCGTATGCGCCCGAAAACTGAGCAACTGTCCTAAATTTCTCTTAAATCATCCCAATCATTGTCTGAATGCAAATGAGGCTGCAGTTGAAGTAAAAGCTGCTCATATCCAGTGACATTATGTAACTTAAAATATTCAAATACTCAAAATATTTTATTATATATATTTATATTATTTATTATATAAGTTTTTCTGATATCATTGAGCTATAACAAATTCAGCACCAGTGGCTGGAAGAATGTTCATCTCTTTCAGGGTTAAGTCCAACAGCTTTTTAAATGATTAAATTAAAAGTTAATGACCTTTTCTTGCCTTTGGCAGAGCTTTAGTCTGAAGGCTTCTCTCTGCTGCATTAACCAGTGTTGCCAACTTTTTGCAGGAGAGTAACTTTTGGCTGCTTTCAAAAGTAGCAAGAAGTCAGTAAATAGCATTGTACGATAAACATTCGAACTTTCTAGAAAATACATTTTCTGTAAAAAAAAAAAAAAAAAAGAAAAATTCTACTTCATTTGAACTGTTACCTATGGGCTGTGGCCAAATTAATGTTACAGTTAAAGGAAAAACTGTCAGTAAAGTGTTGTGAGTTTACCGCCAGAGACTGTAACTGCTCTCCGTTGAAACCGCAGCAAAAACTCTGCTGTGGGCAGAACAGCCAAGCGCTTCATGAATGATCTCCTACCTGTAATGAACCTGAGACACTTTATCATGAACCCCGCATCATTAAAAAAGGAGGAATAAAACTAGGCCTACCTGTAATTTATATGACCGCTTGTGAACTGTCCTGTTTTGTCAAGTGTTTGTTTGTTGAGCTGTTTTAACTGTTTCTCTGACTCCTCTCTCTGTATGTCAGGAGGATGACGGGCTGCGGAAGAGAAAGGTGACCTCAGTGGCCGCTTCTCACTCCTCTTCCATGGCGACCTCGGCCATGAGGGACGAAGGCCTAAGCATCCGCATCCTGGCGCTCTGCGTGCTCTTCTTTGTCATTGGAGTCATCATTGGCAAGCTGGCCCTGTAGAGACACAGACAGACAGAGCACAGTGACGAACGGACGGATGGCGTGCTCGGGAAGACACGTGTCAATGACGGCAACGGGGATGTCTCCTGGGTTTATGTTGATTTCTCTTTCTTTTTTTTTTAACATTTAAGGCAATATCATGATGGTTTGTCTGGATGGAAAATAATTTAATGTGTAAAAAGAAAACGAAAGAAGGCGATCCCAAGTTAAACCATGAGTGCGAGCGTTTTTGTCACAGGTCTTGCCTTTTTCTTTCTTTTTTTTTGTGAAATAATCACCACCTCTGATCTGTTCTTTCCGTCCATCCCTCCTTCCTAAATGATCTTCCGCAACTTGCACAGATATCAGTTAGTGGTGTGTGGAAGTGGCTTCATGCTGGCTGAATGTCTAAAGTCTTTCATTTATTCTTTATTGATTCTCAAGTCTTCAAGTTCCTCACTCACATTGTCTATAAGAAAGCTCTAACACTCCTCTTCTGATAAATTTCTCTTCCACTTATTACTGAAAATCTGCTCAGAGAGGTGAACACAAGTGATCAGTGAATACTTTTTTTTTTTCCTGACTCAAACTCTATGTTTTGTCTTCTAAACATCGCCTGTAGAAGCCGTGTGTGTGTGTTCTTGATTTTGCCTCTCCTGCAAGAGGGCTGATGTGACTGCGTGTGGATGTTTTTATGTGAGGAGACCACAAACGGTGAAATCACAGGCTGTTTTAGAACGAAGGAAGAGGGGTGGGTTTGAAAACAAAACTGTCATCTGAACAGATTTCCTGTACGCAACAGAAAACCGGGGGTGGTTGTTAAAAAGATAAGACAAAAAACATTTGATCAGTTAAGTCGCTGACCAGACCAAGGAATCAGTAGAAATTAATTAAAACAAATATTTAGGGTTATTTGTTAAATTATAACTCTCATAATAAAGAATCTATGCTACACAGTGATCTAGTTCAAACACAAAGTTGGAATTGAGTTGAATACATCAGATTTTCCCAGTTAACACTTTGATTTTTTCGAAAATTACTTCCTCAGGTTGAGAGAGAGGCGCTAGATGGAAAAGACAAAAAAATCCCCCCCCTTCAAGCAGAATGAACTCAGACATTTGCAATATATAACACAGTATGTAACAATAGTTTTGGCCACCTTGTTTAATTTTGCCCATGGAGTACTGTATTCGCGTCCTCTAGTGTATTTCAGCAGATGTTTGCTTTTTCCTTATATTACCATGTAGCCACGATGCTTCTGTTGTTTATAATATTCAAATGCACTATATTCAACTGTCCACTCTGCAGTCTGCATGAAATGACCTGGATTTATAATTTTTATTATTATTTGTTTGAGTGTTGAAGTTATTTTAGCAAAACAAAAAAAAAATCTGTCTTTTCAAAAGGGACCATCTTGAGTCTGGTTTATCAGTTTGTGTGTGTTTTTGTGTCCTTTCGATTATCTTTTTCTTTTTGTTTCCTGTTGGGCTCTGGTGGTTGTGAGATAACTGAGACAACACAGCTGTATTATCTCGACTATCACATGACCATCTAAGCAGGTTGTTTAAAAAAAAAAAAAAAAAGGAAAAAGAATAAATATCTGTACTTTTCGTTGCCTGAGGGAGCTCGGGGAGCAGAGAAGTGGGAATGTGGGCGGCTGGGAGGAGGACTGACCTGTGAATACACACTACATCAAAGAGAAAAAAAAAAAGGCATCAGCGCTTCAGACCACACATGCAAAGATACAGTCACACAACAATGTAATCACACAGTAATTGGATACTCTTTTGTATGTACATAAAAATAAAAAAGACTTAAAAAGATAACTGGCAAAGTTATTAACATACTGTAGTAAAGGAAGAAAATAATTGAACAACCACCATGGATCATGTAGCATCATAATGAATTAAAATACATAAACCCCCAACTGTCTGCTTCTGTGAAAAGTTTACTCTTTTTTTTTTATCATTTAGTGTGTGTATGTGTGGTTGTGTAACAGAATAGTAAAACAAGTATCTGGGGTGCAGAACCACTGAACCAGTGCTGTTATAGAGGGGATATTCAACTAAATGTTAGTGCTCTAAGTGAATTAAAGGAGCACCCCACTGACTTTACTCAAGATCAGGTTACTCTTCACAAACTTTAATAATGTCTACTGTGTCTCTGAAGGGAGCTAACAAAGTCACCATAATGTCATCGTAATTCGGGGCTTTATGCTACGAATTCTTAACAGAAAGCCTCTGTTGTAAAGTGGAGTTACGGAGACGTGGCCCTTTACTAGGTAGGGAGGGTCCAAAGTAGGAAGTGTTACTTAAGGTTTGACCCACACTAGTGCATTTGACTGTTCTGTATAACTTTATAAGTGCTATCCTAAATTGCTGGAGTACCCCCTTTTTAAACCTTATAGATCCCCACCCGACATTATAGGACATTTTGAAACAATTATTTTGTTCAAAATCAAATTGATTACATTTAGTCACCTACCACATTGAAAATTCAATAATCTTTAAATACGTAAATATTTTTCTTTTCAAAAGTTTAAATGCTGGATGTCTTCTTGTACACTTAAATATATATATATATATATATCCAGATACACGTCTCACACACATCAGTGAATGTAGAACAACATTCAAGTATCAAACTCTGCACAGTGAAGCTCAAACATCTAAGTGAAGTGACAATAATAGATATTTGAGTGGAGGGGGTCTTTAACGCATTTACACCTCCTAACTATCAGATCAGAAAGGTTCAGTTCAGTTGTATAGTGTTAAAGAGCGTGATAGATATTATATAAAGTAAACTTGTATATATAGAGGTTTACAGAACTAAACTTCAGGTTGCAGGTTTTGGATAATAAAGCAATAATGACAAAGTAAAGAGGGTTTCATAACTGCATTAAAAGCCCTGCAGTACTGTTCAGGGCTCCTGCAGGGCTCCTGCAGGGCTCCTGTTGTCCAGCAGATGGAGACAGAGATCCAACAAGCAACGCCCACCCCCTCATCGGGCAACATGACGTCATTGGGCCTTATCCAGGAAGTAAAAACATCAACAATCCTTCCAGCTTCCAGGCTAGGGCGAAGTGTCAGTGTTAGCCTAGCAGCGAAGTAGCTAAGCGGGTTTTCTTGGGTGTTTCACAGATTTGTTTTATTTTTTTTAATATATATATATATAATTAGCGTGTTGTAGCATCCCAGATATGTCGTTGTTAGGTAAGCTATTTGGTGGAGGAGGAAAAGGAGGAAAGGGACCGAGCCCACAGGAGGCGATCCAGAAACTCCGAGAGACGGAGGAGATGCTAACGAAGAAACAGGAATTTCTAGAGAAAAAGATCGAACAGGAACTGCAAATTGCCAAGAAAAACGGCACGAAAAACAAAAGAGGTGAGATATCAGGTTGTGTTTACGTACAGTGTTCACTCTTTATCATCATATTTCCTCTTTAAAAACCCTAAGCTAACTGTTAGCACGTTAGCTCACTTGGCTAACTTTCCCTAGCTGTCATATTGTTGGTAGCCTCACCTATGTTACAGTCACAGCTATCACGGTCGTGGCTGCCACCCGAGATAAGTGGATGTTTTAGTTGATTGTGTGTGGGATTTAATCATCTGATTAGTGATTCTCGTTGACTTGTTTTCAGTGAGGTAAGGCTGGGCTTGTCTGTGGCTGATGATCATTTTACATCTGATCGATCAGTGGCCATTTAACAATACTAAAGCGAATTATAGGTGAGGAAAGCGACAACCCAGCTAGAGTTACATCTCCTACAGCAGAGAGACTACAAAGATACTGGCTCAGTGTGTCAGGACAAGGGTTGAGCATTGGAGTTGCACATGTCCAAAGGACGTGATATGGCTGTCAGAGAGGTGGGCGTGTTTGCACCTTGGTCTGTATGAGTCTGTATAGAAACCTACAGACCTCCAGGGGTTCCTACAGCTGCCTGATACATTATTATACTCTATATTGTGTATATTATATATTATAAAGCCACAAAACAAATACAACGACCCCACAAAATTATACTTTTTTTTTTTTTTAACACCAGTAATTGGCAATATGGAAACAAAAGTATTACAATAACCAGAAGAGCATATACTATACATAACTACATATTACAACATTATCGCATTATAAAGATATAGGTGTGACCTGATAAGGACGAGGAAGTCAAACCTGGAATGTTGTTGACAAAGTTTCACATTTTGGCATGAGGAAAAAGAAAGTGTTTTGTCCAGTGGAGATGATGAATTTGGTCGGTTGGCTGTTGAATTAATTATAATTATTGTTTGTGTAAGAATGGACATTTTGGGCTGATCAACCGGTCACAAGAAATGTTTGGATAAATCCTCTGGGACCATGAATATCAATAGTGCATAATCTAAAAAGTCTTACCATGCATGAAAGTGTTGATTAAGGGTAAAATACAAGATCAGGGGGTCACCAACATTAGTGGCAATCTTCTGGCGAGCACAAATATCCAAAGCTACATACACACTAACCTGGCCAGAATGTAGTTTATTATGGAGAAAGAGAGAAACTGATGAACAGACTGAGCAATGGACCAGTGTTGCTACAAGTGGGGCAAAAAATATTGTTGTCATTACAATGATAGGATATCTATATTGCCATGCCACACGTTATAGTTTAAGTTATCCATTAAGTGAAAACTCACTGGAGGTTGATAAAGTAGCCGTGTTGCAGACTCTTTGTTGTTATAGTGCATTAAATAAAAATGAAGTCTCGGACGTGGTACGTACTTTGTGTTTGTGGTCCATAGTTATTTCCTCCTCTGACTCCACAAAGGTTGACAGAATGAGTCAACGCAGCATGACACACTCTGATAGTGTCACTACAACCGATCAGGTGTGAGTTAGTGGTTGTGGTCATGTGACTCCTGTGGCTGATTGATTTCTACTTTTCAGCTTTTCCATCCAGTCAGCCAAGTGCCAGAGAAAAGTTGTCCTCCTTGTTGATCTGTCACTAACATGGTACATTAGTCTGTGGTATGGATCTCTGTAATTTCACAGAGCACAAGATGTGGTGCTGACAAATGTTTAACCGCATGTATTCCGTCTCTCATTCCTGTTTAATGACAAAACAATCCCCATGATTCTCAGCTTTACTTCACTGTCATTGAAGTTATGTTTCTATGCAATCGGTCTATTTCTGTGGCAGTCTGCTCATCCTGACTCCTTCCCTTCTGACTGTCTCTACTCAGCGGCTCTGCAGGCTTTGAAAAGAAAGAAGCGGTATGAGAAGCAGCTCGCTCAGATTGACGGCACGCTGTCGACCATCGAGTTCCAGAGAGAGGCTCTGGAGAACGCCAACACCAACACTGAAGTGCTCAAGAACATGGGCTTCGCTGCCAAGGCCATGAAGTCTGCCCATGAAAACATGTAAGAGCGAGGACCCAGTCACTGATTAAGTTCTTTACTATTTGACTGATCTATTGGACTTAAGCCTGGTACTTCTTAAAGGTCCAGTGTGTAAGTGAGTATCTATTTCCAGAAATGGAATATAATGTTCATAGGTATGTTTTCATTAGAGTATAATCAACTGAAATTATAGCCTTTATTATGTTTTTATGAGGGTGCAGGTCCTCTCCTACAGACTGCTGTGTTTCTACAGTAGCCCTTTAATTGCCTTTATGGGATTACAGGGAGAGTAAAGAAAAAGATTCCATCTGCTATAAATTAATAGAAAGATTATGAGGAACAGCTTTACTTCACACAGAGGATTTGACCCATATTCAGTAATAACTCCCTAATCCAAACCAAACCCATCAGCACAAAATGTTGTTTGAATCAGTGATTTAAAAAACTAATAATAAGGTCAGCGGGTAGAGCTGGCGACCCATGTACCGAGTTCTGCGGCGGCCCAGGGTTCGAATCCGACCTGCGGCCCTTTGCTGTGTGTCATTCCCCTCTCTCTCTTGCCCCCCTTTCCTGTTTGTCTTCAGCTGTCACTATCATAAAGGCAATAAAAGCCCCAAAAATATACTTATAAATAATAATAATATGAAGAATATATTATAGTCCGTTCTGTTTTACTCACACGTATCCTCCCCTGCGTATTGTTTCAGGGACATTGACAAGGTGGACGACCTGATGCAGGACATTACAGAGCAGCAGGAGCTGGCCCAGGAAATCTCTGACGCCATCTCTAAACCTGTCGGCTTTGGAGAGGAGTTTGATGAGGTGAGTGATGATTTTAAATGCAGATTCTGAACTGATTCCTGCTTTAAAACGGTTGGCTGTGTATCTGCTAGTGTCTGATTTATTTAGAGATTTACTGTAAATTGTGTCTCAGGCTAATCTGACACTACAGAGCTGTCACACACTTGACACACTTGTTTTTTTTCTGTGTTGAACACACAGTAATAAATGATGGACTGATAGTACGACAGGGTAAACCCAGCAGAGCAAAGTTCAGCATCATCCTTGATGCTGTCCAGTATTGTTTAGTAAGCCACCAGGCTAAACACAGTATGTTGACGTCTGTGTTTCTTGAGTCATTGCTGTGGCATTAAGGCTGTTGAATCAGCCTTATTTTTGAATGGTCTTATTCATACAACAACCTCACCACAATTATGGTGTTGGGTCATCCTGGGATAATATGGCTAGAAGAATGAATCCCCTCTATCTCCAATTCCGAGTCAACTGACTTATTTAAGTTTAAGTATTTTAATTCATCTCAGACACATGAGCTTAGGACCAGATTATACCACCCCTAAACTAACTGTTGTGTGGTATGCATTTGTTTGTGTTTGTCCACATCTGAAAGTGTTTGCTGTCTTTCTCAGGACGAGCTGCTGGCGGAGCTGGATGAGCTTGAACAAGAGGAGCTGGATAAAAACCTGCTGGAGATCGGGGGATCAGAGAACGTCCCCCTCCCCAACGTGCCTTCATCTTCATTACCTTCCAGACCTGGTAAGAGAGCAGAGAGAGAGAGGCAGAGAGGAACAAATCCCCACACAGAGCCAGATTTTAAGTTCCATCTCGAGTCCACAGCCGGGCTCCACGATCAGACTTAATTATCGGCTGAAATTCCATTATTAGAACTAATCAATCAGCCGACCAATATAGGCTCCTGAGAGTGGTCTCACTCTTCTCTTCATTTAACTCCCATTAAACATTTGTTTCCCAGGTTCTGATCCTGAATTCAGTTAACAATTACTGTACCAATTCATTCACATCTCTCACAGCTTTTATTTCTGTCTTTCCTCCTCTGCCCCTAAAAGCCAAGAAAGAGGACGACGAGGACGACATGGAGGACCTGCAGCGCTGGGCGATGGAAGCCATGTAAACGCAGCATCCGCCACATCATACCTGCATCAGAGAGGGAAGAGAAATGAGCAATGGGGGAATGAATGGACTGAAAGGATGTTGTGTATGAGCGTTTTTGTGTGTCTGAGGAGAGCCGACCGTCTACTTTATGTAACACTACGAAAAAAGCAAAAATGCTGTAATCTTTCTTTACCCGACACTTTCACAAATATAGACCCCTGGGTGCTCTGCAATACGAGCTGGGGCTTTTATTTTGAAGCTCTATCACTTTACCTTGGCAAAGTCACCAATTATGTTTACCCTCAATTTTAATACAATACTAGCACTTCGTGGTCCCTGTGCTGGGCGGGGCTATTTCAGCGTCCACAGAGTTCATGTTGAATTAAATACCATGAGCTCTGTGGTGCGATTAAGGAGTTGTTGTCAGAGTTGTGTTACAGTATACGTGGCGTTACTGACGTCACTGGATAACAGGGGATTTTTTATGAGAGCTTAATCCTCTAAAGGTCATATATTTACCTGTATTTGTGGCGTTAAACTTGCTGGATGTTTTGTTTTTGTTTGTTTTTTTCCCTTCTTGACAAAAATAACAATCGTTTGCTCTCTTGTTTTTTTGTTAACCGCTCTTGAAAATAGGAGAACAGCTGAGCATGAGCTGGGTGAAGAAACTACGAGCTGTGTGTTTGCCAGAGTCCGAACATGTTTCTTTTGTTTCAGGCTGCGTGCTTTGTCCCCCCTTTCCCCCCCTCCTCGCCTCCTGTCGCCATTTCAGCGACTTGTCCCTCCCTCAAAGGCGTTCTCACCAGTGGTTCTTGTTATTTGGTGTAAATATCCCAAATGTGTCTCTTTTTATATACTGTATCTCTGCCGTCACTGAGAGGATCTGTCGAGGTTGTGTGAAGCATGCAACAATGGGGAAATGACAATACAGATCACTACGCACGGCTAGAAAAGAGATGTTAGACCTAACACTTTCATCCTGCTCTGTCTGTCTCGGTCCTTCTCATAAGGGTTTTTGTTTCAGATTGTATAATGTTAAAAAAATTATAATAATAAACTATTGTCACACCTTATTAACTGCATCTTGAAGGAGCTGGTGGTTTATAAAATATTAGATTATAGTCAATCTACAACATCAGCGTTTTTTTTTTTAGTTGAAAAGAGTTAATTCATTTAGTTTTTCAAAGTCATGATGTACATTTTTTACATAGAAAAAAAAAAACATAACACAAGGACGGATGGACAAGCATGTTTGCATTTCTATGTTTTATTTATCCAGATGAGAATATTATTTGCAAAATCATTAAAGGTTTTCAATTCTTTTATTGTAGTGGAAGCTTTATCTTTTGTCGTGGTCATCTTGTGATATCAGTATATTCAGTGTCATAGTCGTCACCTGCTGTGTAGCCATGCTGGGAAACTCCTGTGATATAGAATATGATGAGTTTTATAGACACAACAACAGGTGACTCTGTCCAACCAGCCGCCCAAAATCCAAAGATATTCAATTTGCTATCAAAGAAGACAAAGAAAAGCAGCAAATACATTTGAGAAGCTGGAACCTTCAGAAAACATATTCCAATAAACTTTCTACCAAGTGTTTATTATTAGGCAAATCCTTTCAATTGTGATAAAAATAAAAACAAGCAAATAAGTAGGTCATTGTTTACACAAGACAAGGCTTTACTATCAGACAGACATACTGTACAGGTTCTGACACACACACACACACACTGTAACATCTGGTAACATAATAACACATCACTATAAATAAGCTGTTAACTTTCTGTCAAGACCGAGAGGAAACTGAACTAGTCTACCTCCACAAACTCTCAATGTTTGCTGCAGTTGTTCTTGAACACTCCCCCAACGCGAATGCGGCGTCGCAAAGTACTGACGTCAGGATTCGGCGACTTCACGCTTGCGTAGTGCGGCTCCAACGCTGATGCAAGAACTGTTCGGCGCAGCGGTGTGGGACTGATCGAGGGACAGAAAGTAGCCACAGTTCAGACACTCTTCAGCCCGCAATCATGTCAGGAGACGAGGTGAGTGGTCTCGGGTTGTCCGCTGTTCAGTCTCTGTTGCTATGGAGACGTGTTGGGTGAAATGAGTTGGGTTTTCGGACCGGATCGGTGTCGAGGATGACTTTGGGCCTCGGCTCTGCTGATCCCCTCCCTGTCCGCTCTCACATGGCTGCAGCCTCGCTAACAACGGTCCGAGCCGCCCGAAAACAAGAACGTATCCAGTACACCAGCGTATCACGATCTACCGCACCGTCCACTTTACTAATACTCACCATGGCTCTTCAATCCGCCCTGATACCGCTGCTCGACACCCTCAAAGGAAGGGATGAAGTTAGCTGGCTAGCTAGTTAGCGTTAGCCGGCCGTTAAGTGAGCTACAGTGCTAACAGTGCTAACGGCGCTAACGGTGCTAACGGTCTAACGGCTCTAACGGCTCTGTACAGCAGACACAAAAAGCTACCAGGCTTTAATGCTAGCTCTACATAGCCTACATGGGCTTTACACTGACACAGAGGCGTGACAGAAATACATTGGAGATTTATGCGGGTCAGCATTATCATTATATTGTATTTAGTGCAGTCACAGTTTGAGACGTAAGTTGGTGTGTGAGTGTGTTTAGTTGTTAAACTGGTTAATTCTCATTATTGGTTCCTCTGAGCACGATGACACACCAGGAAGGGACATTCAGAGGCTGAAGAAAACCGCATCACTTTATTGAGACAATAAATCATAATGTGTGTATCATAATATCATCGTATAACCAAATCCCTGATCGCTTCAAGTCTCATATCTGATCATCTAATTATATGAAATATATATATATAACGTTATATATTGATATGACTTACCATTAATCTGTTATTTTCTTGATCAGTCATTTCATCCAATTATTAGAGAAAATAGTCCAGATTCCAGCTTGATGTCTTCACATTGCTTATTTCTTCTGACAGTCCAAATCCTAAAGATATTTGATGAGCTATCATAAAAGACTAAAATATGTTTTTTTGCCTTTTTTTTCTAAACATAATTTAAACAGATTATTTTTCTGTGGATTGACTAATTGATTAATTAACTGATTGTTTAAGTTTTAGTTACTTAATAATGTATTATATGAGCAACAGCACTTAAACTTTGTTTACTTTTCCCAGTTGGCTTTGATTGGTGAAAAATGGATGACAAACACACTAAAATGGCATGTAGTCATAGTATAAGAGTATAATCCACTCTGAGGTGACCTGATGTATGAAAATAACCAAATCAGCAGAGGAGATGTCCTTCTCCTCTCCCATATGTGGTATTTCTGCAAATCAAAACACATCAGCTTGTAACTGATCGAAGTGAAACACATTGAAAATGAGAAAAATGGATACAACTTATTTGAAGACATTTTAAGAAAAACAAAGGATGTTTTTTTTTTTTTACGATCCATTAAACATCTGCCAAAACATGAATATCAATAATCACAAATTATAGTTGACGTTGGCCAGAAGGAAAGTGGCTGACCATGTTGAACTGTACAAATTATCTCCCGCATCGGTAAATAAAACAGCTGGAAACATATCGCAATAGAACCATCATTTCATAATCTTGCCACCAGTTGTAAAACTTTGTTTTCTCTCCTCCAGATGATTTTCGATCCCAACATGACCAAGAAGAAGAAGAAGAAGAAGAAGCCCTTCATGCTGGATGAGGAAGGAGGAGAGGGAATGGGAGGAGAAGAGGCTAAAGAGGTGGAGGCGAAGGAGGCAGAACCAGAAGCTGGAGACGACAAGGAGATGGATCTAGATGAAGATGAAGGCAGGAAGAAAGGTTAGAATGAGAATACAGAGGCTCCGACTGAAAGCTCTCGTTAAAGCAGTGTAACAAATCGAATATGGTATTCATAGGTATGTTTTCATTAGTGTTTAATCACCTGAAAATAGGAATTGTCTTTTAGTTATTTAAGAATGAGCCGCTTAAATCTACAGAGTCTGCCAGGTTTCTACAGGAGCCCAGAACGGACAAACGAAACACTACTTATAGAGCGCCTTTCTCAAGTTTCACACTAGGAAGGCGAACAGTATTCAGTTAGTTTCAATCTGCAGGCTTGCATTAAACTGCAATTAAGCAGTGCTGTTTTGTCTTCTCTAGAGCCGTCTGATGATTTGAACGACCTGAACTTCTTCAACCAGAAGAAAAAGAAGAAGAAACCCAAGAAAGTGTTTGATAATGATATTGAGGAGGGATTAAAGGTCAGTCACTGCCACACCACAATCATTTTTTCTTCTTTCTTTGCTCCTCATTACTGGTCGCTTGTCTGTTTCTATTGGCTTCATCACCCCCTCTTGTTCCTACCATTGCTTTCCCATCACTCTTCCTTGTCTTAAAAACATTTACACGGTCATTGCTCACCGTCTTCTCATTGGTCCAAATCAGGAACTGAAAATTGAAGGAGAGCAGACGGAGGTGCTGGAGGAGGACAACCTGGACCTGATGCTCCCTACCAAAAAGAAGAAGCCAAAGAAAGTGGACTTCGATGAGGGAGAGTTACTGGAGAAGGATGACGGTAAGAATAAGTCACAAGACATCTTATCAGTAAAGAACTAAAGGAAGACGTGTGTAATAATACTTCTGTATGATGTGTTTCCAGCACTGGAGGACGACGAAGGGAAGAACAACGATGGAATCTCATTCAGCTCCTCCACAGGACCCGCCTGGGCCGGCACTGAAAGAGACTACACTTACGATGAGGTAGGACAGCTGTACGCAAACAGCAGACAGAAAACCAAGACTCCGCTGTAAACAGACAACTTGTTTGGAAATTGGAAAATTGGTCTTTTCATCCACTTAAATGTTGTATTTCCTGGTTGTGTATTTATAAGAGGAAAAGAAAGTTGCTTAAAATAATGTAACGTGGTGGAAGAGGAAGGTATCTCGGTTTTTACCATTAAGTATTACAAGATGCAAGAATACAATAGCTCGTGTTCTCCTGGAATACTGACGCTCTTCTACCCATTTATATACAGATATTTGCCCTGTATTGAAAATCAGTGGACATGTAAACCAAAAAGTTAACTATTAAAACATTTAAAGTTCGTATCCTGGTGTAAAACAGTCGGTGTCAACTGCAGTTGGCGTAACTCTTCATCTGTCTCAGCTCCTGAACCGAGTTTTCAACATCATGAGAGAGAAGAACCCGGACATGGTGGCCGGAGAGAAGAGGAAGTTTGTGATGAAGCCTCCTCAGGTGGTCCGAGTGGGAACCAAGAAAACCTCCTTTGTCAACTTCACAGACATCTGCAAACTGTAAGCCTCGTACACACTGACCCCTCACACAGTTCACTTTGATACGTACTCACCTGAAGTTTTTAACATGGAATCTACAAACTGACCTTTCATGTACTCCATCACAGGTTGCATCGTCAGCCTAAACATCTCCTCGCTTTCCTGTTGGCTGAGCTGGGAACAAGGTAGGTTTTTGTATTTACTATGACGAAATTCATGAATAGACTAACTGGATTTTGTGTCATCTTTAGTCGCTAGTTCTCTGTAATGAAAGGAAACATTTCTGTGTGCACTGTTAGGAGACTTTAACTTGTGTTTTCTTTCGTTCAACAGTGGTTCTATAGACGGAAATAACCAGCTGGTGATCAAAGGCAGATTTCAACAGAAACAGATAGAAAATGTGTTGAGAAGATATATCAGTAAGTGGCGATTAAGCCTTTTATTTATTTTTAAACTCAAATCTAATTCTTGTCAAATTAATGTTTTGGTCTGTTTTCTGCCAAACTGACTTACTTTCTGTGTTCAGTTTTGGTTCATACATTTAATTTTATTTCATTTGAAGAATGATATATTACATTTATAAAAACACCAACCAGGATAGATACCTGATCTTCAACTATTTTTATTTCTAAGGATTTAATTAGCTTAACATCATACAAATAGGCAACATGGCTTAAATAATAATTATGCAGTTACTAATTAAATGACAGGTCCCACAAAGTTCATCAGTGATGTCAAAATCAATTTATAATGTAAATGTAACGTATCTTCTATTAGGGGGTGGACGTCTCAAAAAAAAAAAAAAATTCTTATTGAAATTATTTTTTTCATTAAAATGTTGTTTTAATTAGTAAAACAGGCTTTGTTTAATAAAAGTAGAGCTGCTGTTTAATAAAAATAGGTTTGATATAATATAGCTTCGTCGTTCATCACACCTCGGACCAGAATTTATCACTCAAAGCTGCACTAGGCCTGACTAGGTTCAGAGCTACTTTACGTTTTGGTTCGCAACAACTGAAAGCAGTCACATCTCAAAAAGTGAGTTAAGGAGTTTACTGAGGTGCATGTGACTGACACGCTGGAGTGGAGAATAGAAAAATAAATCTGTGTCCATCAGGAGTCTGTCATTTTAGTGTAGTGAGTACTTTTTAATCAACTGTTTTTCAACGAGTTCCACACATACTTCTCTACCAAGAACAAAATAACTATAGAACTAAATAAAATAAATACAGAGAACTCCTGTGTGTGTGTGTGTGTGCTGCTGTGCTAATAACTCTTCTCCCCCTGCAGAGGAGTACGTGACGTGTCACACTTGCCGCTCCCCAGAGACCATCCTGCAGAAGGACACTCGCCTCTATTTCTTGCAGTGTGAAACGTGCCACTCCCGGTGCTCCGTCGCCAGCATCAAGACCGGCTTCCAGGCTGTGACGGGCAAGAGGGCGCAGCTCCGCGCCAAAGCCAACTAAAGACCACCTAAACTGGGCTCCCCCTCGTCTCTCGGCCTCCCCTTTCCCCCCCTCAGAAGGGTCGAAGCTGAGGTTGGACGCCCCCTTGATTCGCTAAAAGGACTCTCTGAATCGAACTGCGGGAGGGTTTGGCTGTTGTGTAGTCGTGTCGTGGCCTCACCAGGCAGGGAGTGAGAGAGTATCTAACGCTGACAGATGGGGTTCAGACACTGTAAGCAGATGATGTGTACCACATACACTGTTGGATGCATTTGATTTGTTGTCTGGCTGATGAACCCTCCACCACCTAGGTTGATTTTTTTTTTTTCTTCTTTTTTTTTCTTCTCCATTTGCTGTGATTCTTGATTCCTGCAAGAAAATCCTGATTAATATAGCTTGAATTCTCCCTCCTTCTTCTCCCACTTTACACACACCAGACATGAATATTTCCTAGGATAAGGAATACATTTCTCCATGCAACCAGCCAAATTGTAGTAAAGTTAAGTTGATCTGCTAATTGCAGCCGTGTGGCTCATGTGGTCACCTCTTTATTCTTTAATTCCATGTTGCTTAAACTAAAGGCTGTGTTCCTGTTTCTGGTCTGGCCTCAAATCACAAAACTGCTGGTCCAGAATTTGTTGCCCTAGCTTATCAAAGATAAAACTCAGTCACCAGGCTGGAGTTCATAAAGGAAGGTTTATCACTGTAACGAGTCTGACTGACTCCTTTTTGATCATTTTATAGCAGGAGATGACCACAAAGCCAGGCAGCTAAGGGCTGATAAAGGGGAAAACACCGTCTCACGACTTTTAATAGAGAGCTTGTGTGTGGGACAGACATAGAAATCATACAGTGTGTTTGTGAGTGCTTTTGTGGCATTGATGAGCAGTTGTGTACTTGGTTATTTCTTTCTGACACATTTGATAAAACACTTGAGAATCGGTTAAAAGGACCTAAAAAAAAATAACTGAATTAATTTTGCCAACAAGAGCAGTTTTCCTGAGCCAATGCCAGCCCCCTAACACAAACACCCACATGCTTCCCCCTATAAACAGCTTCTGAGCAGGCACCTCAGATCAGTCTCTAACAGGACATTATTTTCAAGTGTGATTACAGAAATTTACACCACAGGCTAGCCAGAATACGGAGAGTTTAAGACCAGTGATACTATATACATGATATTGGTTCTGTTCTTGTTAGAGAAGAATGTGGATAAGGAGGTCTGGTTTGAATCATTTTAAAACCTGGTTTTTACAAAAATAAAATATTCTACTCTCTCTCTCTCCATGACTGCTCTCTCTGTGCTTGCATCCATGTTGTCACTGGATCTAGTATGAATTGAACATTTATATGCATCTAGTTGAATATTCAGTTTCAAAAGTTAGTTGCAGTGGAAATATAACCATAATGACTCGAGTTCTCAGCGTTAATTCCAATAATGCATTCATATAGCTCAGCTTAGCCACCTTCTACCACAAAGTGTCATTTATTATGTTTTATTATCCATAACATTATTTTAACTCACTTTTGTTTATATTATTTTGTGTAGAAGCTGCTGGTAAAGTATTTATTTACTGTCCTAATAACTAATTGGACTTTTTCGAGGCACTGGCAGTAGAGTACTTTGATTTTGTTTGACTGTACTTCTCATTTTAGACAGGAGAATCATACTTGTTAGACTTTATGTGATGGTTCAGCGTGCCCCTCTGCTGGATCAGATTTTACATGCAGAGCACTAAGATCATAAAATATAATGTTATTTAACCCAATACAAAATGAAGTAGTAAGACTAGTAGTTTGTCAGGTCCACTTAAACCACATTCACATCAATATCAATTATTATAAGCAATCTGCAGCTATTACTAATGCTTACTGTCATTTTTTGGATACAAAACTTGTTTAAGTTATTTAATTTCCTCTTGTCAGTATGTGTAGTAGTATGTGTTTTATAATCCCACAAGGCACTAGCACATTTACATTCATAAGATAAATGTTCTGTTTTCAGTGTGTTCAACATAAAACAAGCAGTTTTTAGTGATCTAGACCAAAGCAACATCTTTAACATTCTCCATCTATCCCTCCGGATATTTTTAAGTAGACTAACTTCTTTTATTGTGCACACTTTAACCTTTAGTAAAAAGTTTAGTTATTAATTCCTCAGCTTCATCTCAAACCGTCGCGACATTTAATATCTGTTCTGTAAAATACATATAAATTCATGACAAAAACTTTCCAGATTGTTGTAAGAATGTTTTATTTAATTTTAAGTACAATACCGGAAGTGTCGTACTAATAGCTTCGCGCTGATTGGCTGGTCTTGCGCCGTCGCACACGGCTCGTTGGAAGAGAAGCTCGTCGCGCTCCCAGCAGCCCTCAGTGCAGCGGCAGCTAGGTAACGGACCGTTGGGGAGAACCGTCGAGAACAACGTTGGGCGTTAAATCATGCCTCGGGTTTATATCGGACGACTGAGTTATCATGTCCGCGAAAAAGACATCCAGCGGTTTTTCAGCGGATATGGGAAGCTTATGGAAATCGACTTGAAGAACGGGTGAGTTTAAGTTTTAGTTTTTGGGTGGGAACGCGACCGGGGTTAGTGAACGTTGCCCAGCTAGCATTCATGTTGCTAAGCTAACCGTTCATGTTAACGACGTCAGTGGTGCTACGGGAGCCTTTCACACTTTAAGCGAATATATTTCACCTTCGCAGTCGAGCCAGTTTGTAAAGTTGAGCGTATTGAGTGTGTTTTGTGTGAGTACTACAACTCTACTCTTTATTTTTTGTTTCGTTCATCAACTTCTCGTCTTGCTCGTGTGGCAAATGTCGCATGGCCAACATGGCGTCTTTGTGTTTGCTACAGCGCGGAGCTAACGGGCCGAGCTAACGACCACTAGCTCATTCCCAGTGGATGAACACACCACGCTGTGTGTGATTGGATAAAGTGTAGCTGTTTTACCCTTTTAAACACTGTCTTTCCTCTCCAGCTATGGATTCGTGGAGTTCGAGGACAACCGAGACGCCGACGATGCCGTCTACGAGCTGAACGGGAAGGAGCTGTGCGGGGAGCGGGTGATCGTCGAACATGCCCGGGGACCGCGGCGAGACCGAGATGGCTACGGTGGGGGTTACTGGGGTGGTGGGCGCAGTAAGTGCGGTCTATTACAAGATACCCTCTCTTCCCCTTCCCCTTGGGGTGAGGTGTCGATGTGGACTGCACAGAGAGCTGTTTTGTTATTTCTTACTTAAACTTATTTTGATGTTCAGGTACATTGTCATGGTTTATAACCAGCAGTCTTGAATCCCATGTCAATGTGTTCCCTTGCTACACGTTTACTATGGCTCAGATTGCATGCAAACTTAATTAGTTGCTATAACATTATAAGCAGTTGTACTATATTCATTATATATTCACTTTTAGGATCATAAAGTAGTGTGACCACATGGAGAAGTTCCTATGAAACAGGACTGATCTACATTCTCCTTATTCAGGAAGTCCAGTTACATGTTTTTGTGTGTTTGATCTCTTCCTGCTGAACAGTTTTCCTCAGTTTTAAACATCAAGGGCAGATGACCTGCAGGTTGTTGCTCCTCCCTAGTGATCACGAACCACCCTTGTTTGGTCTGTGGTTAATTATTGGGAAGGAACTGCAATATGCAAGTCAGTGCCCTCAAATAGCAGAGTCCATGAGTCTAGGCTGTAGAGTTGGCATTAGCTAAGATAGCTTGAAAGCAGGGCTTTCTTGCACACGGGTTGCAAAGTTCTCCTGGGTGATAATTAAAGTGGTGAGCCAGGTTTTGAAGGTGTGAACTTTCAAATTTGTTGTTTGCACCACTGAAGAAAGCTAATAACAAATGATCACCACAAACCTAGCTAGTGTAGCTTTAGCTCAATCATTAGGACTAGACTAACATTTTTATGTGAAATGTGTATTTTTAATATTGGTATACATTTTTATATTCAACATTAACAAAAGTCCTTGATGTTTCAATTTGAAAGAGTCCAGTTGCGGGCTGAGGCTGAGAGTCCATTGAGGCTAAAGATGACTGGCTAAGATGACTGCCTGTCCCGTTTGGCCTTGGCTTTCACCTTACAATGTGTGTGTGACCTTTGCCCCCCTTGATCCTTGGCTGACCTAACCGGAAGCCATGATGACAGCAGCCTTTTGCCAATAGACCAGGGGCGATGGTGAGGATTGCCATTGGTTTCTATGTTGACAGCAAACATAAGTGGAGCGGCTCTAGTAAAGAACTTGCAGTCAAAAGAAATGTTGTAAGTGAGAACTGGAAAACAAAATTTCAGACTGACACCCGGTCAAATATCAAATACCAAAAGATTGGTGTATGTGTTTCTTTACACCGTTCTTACTCAATTTGATTGAACGGTGTCCTTGACCACAACCTATGTGGATACCTCCTTTCTGTTTGTGTTACAGGGTTCAGAGGTCTTGAAAGAACATCACTGTCCATTTGTTTATGCAACTAAAGCATCACAGTGTGATGTACCGGAGTAAGACAGGCTCTGTATTGCTGGAAACAGATGCAGTGGTGTTCTTTGCAGCAGAGGACAACTTCAGAATGCTGAACAATACAAACAATACAAAGAGCCCATGCAGTGGCTTGTAGATACTTTTCTGAAGCTTTGTGTTTGAAAAAGGGATCAGAAGGACTCCTTTTAATAAGTTCAAATTTATACCCCCTTGGACTTTTATCTGGCAGTCACTGCCTTGTGTTCATTTAACAACCCAGGCCAGTAGTTCTTTGTGTCTCGGCCATTTTAGTCGTTCCTAACTTTTTTCATGTGGTGTTGTTTTTAAAGGTAGCGGTTACAGCAGCCGGAGCCGCTCTGGCAGGGATAAATATGGACCTCCGGTCCGTACAGAGTACCGCCTCATCGTGGAAAACTTATCCAGCCGCTGCAGTTGGCAGGACCTCAAGGTACAAATTCTGACACAAACCATTGTTTATCCCCGGTTAACTCTGCTGAATAATCAGACCAGTGAAGTGATTTACACAGAACAAGTGTGTCAGTATATTTTATTCTCCACAATTTCTGCATTCCCAGGACTTCATGCGTCAGGCCGGAGAGGTGACATATGCAGATGCCCACAAGGAACGCACAAATGAGGGAGTGATCGAGTTCCGGTCCCACTCGGACATGAAGAGGGCTCTGGACAAGCTGGACGGCACAGACATCAACGGGCGGAAGATTCGTCTGGTGGAGGACCGACCTCGCAGACGAAGGTCTGACTCTGGCAGCCGCTCCAGGTGGGAACACTTGACCACTAAATAATAACGTTTCAGACACACCAAACTCCTCTTTAACTCAGTGTTGCTAAAGAACTCACAACACGGATTTCTTCTTACACAAGATACCTTGTAGTTCTGTCTTTGACTTTGTGTTGTCATTCCTAGATCTCGTAGTCGCCGTCGCTCCCGCAGCAGGAGCCGCAGAAGCCGGAGGAGCAGGAGCTCCAGGAGTCGCTCCAGATCCCACTCCAGGTGAGAATGGATCTGATATGAGAGTTTAAACACAAATACGAGTTGTAGTTAAGGTACTGACATAGATAAGTAAGGTGTAGATACACTTTATTGGGTCCCTGTAATTAACTTTTTTAGATTGACGAAGTTGCACAAAACATGAAGTAATGTATGTTTCTCTTTTTCCTTACAGGTCTCGTTCCCGTAGCAACAAGAGACGTCATCAGTCCCGCTCCAGATCTGGAAGGAAGTCTCGCTCTAAGTCAGGAGAAAGCAAATCCCGTTCTCGCAACCGCAGGTCTCGTTCGCGATCCCACAAGTCCAAGTCGCGTTCACGCTCCCGCAAATCTGGCTCTCGTTCAGCCGACCGGAAATCTAAATCCAAGTCCCGCTCCAAGAGCCGCTCAAAGGTGAAGTCGGAGCGAGATTCTCGCAGTCGATCCAAGGAGATGTGTGGTGACAAGAAGTCTCGCAGTCGTTCAGCGTCCCCAATGGAGAACGGGAAGGAGGAGCGTGCCGCCAAATCAGCCTCCCGCTCCCCATCCCCACAGGAAGATGACCGCCGATCCAAGTCGAGGGAGAAACGTTCAGCCTCTCGCTCACGGTCTCGCTCACGGTCTAGATCAGCTTCTCAGGATTAGTGGAATCATAAACGAGAGGTGTTTCTCTCATTGTTGAGCTTGATCCCTATGCTGTACATATTGAGCAGTGTCGTCATACTGGCTTATGCTTCCTGACTTGTCTACTTTTCTCCTTCGAGTGTGCACTTGTCTTAAACATGAGTAGACGCAGTTTTATTAAGAGGATGCACCACAGTGACGGAGATACTTTTTCAGGATCAATTGTCACCCTCTCAAACCACCAGTCGTCTCCCGAATTATTTTGAAAATCTTTAGAGCTGCAACCTACGGTGGTTAGTCACTATCTCAAAAATGTAATCTTAATTGGTAAACTGTTTCTCACACCAGACTGTTAATTCAAAGCTGTGTGTAGCTTAGCGAAAATTAAGTTCTTTATTTTACTTGCAGCATCTCAGTTTGCAACAGATCTTGTCTGATTTGTTTCATACTCATCCAAACTGCATGGTTGTGGGAGAAAAGTAGCATTTGGTTACAGCATTGAAGCGGCTTCACTTTTTGAGCTGAAGTCTCACTAATTGCTTTCTCAAGGAATCGAGTCAGTCTCTGTTGTCTTGCAGCACTCTGAAATGCACAACCGGGATGCAGAACTGCATATTTACAAGAAAATGATATGGGTTTGTATTTCACGTCTGAACAACTTGCATTGTAGGTGGACATTTAATGATCCCTTTTTAACCTCTTGTACATAAACCATGTGATCAGCATCAGATGGATTTATACGTTTTTGTTGCCACCAGTGGGGTTTTTGTTGTCTTTTGTAACCTTGAGCAGGTGATCTGTGGAAGGCCCTTTTTACTTTGTGGGTTTCAGTTTGACTAGAGTGTCATGGCCTCAAATGCAGTGTCCCGTTTGTCTCGCATTTCCTGCTTTTTCTAATAGTCATTTTCATTTTTTTTGTTTTGTTTTCTGAGTTTAATCCAGGGGTTAAGGGTTTTGTTAAGCCTCTGCTTATTTAAAGTGTGCAGCTAGTACTGGAGTTTTTGTACCCAACGGGTACATCCATTCAAATCTCTTGAGATGTCGACTTGTGGGTTTATAAGACACGAACATCATCAGACTTGCTGAATGCACCCCCTCTCCATCTTTTGGAACAGATTCATATTTTTCCTCCATGCGAATGAGATCTAACAGAAAAATGTCCTTTTTTATTGTATGTTCAATTAAAGATCTTAATTAAAAATCTCACCGTGTAATGTTTCTTTGTGTCTGGATTACAAAAACCTTGACTGCAGTAACGACATGACCTATATCCTGCTAATTATATAATAAATGCTCTTTCATTAAGGGGGAAAGATGAACGAGATCAATGTTTTGCAGAAGCGGTTTATTTTAAATCTGAAGTAAAAACGACCCAACAGTTGTTATTGAACGCTCCCCAAACTAATCGATAGTCCACTACATTATTTTCACATATCGACCATCGCTTCAAGTCTTTTGGCGTTACATTATAACCGACGAGCGGTGACTGTACAGGGGACTCGCGCATGCGCAGTCGGAGTCCCGGAGCCGCAGGAGATAAGAGCTGGTAAGCCAAATTTCAGTTCCGAATTGATCTGCAAAAACGAATTAATTTGACATTTATAAGTTTGGTCTAATTGTAGCCGACACGAGCACCTTTTAACCACCTTCGTTGTTAAGTATTGTGTTTTATTTCTGAAGCAAACGCGCTTTGGCGTGATGGATAGTATTCACCACAAAGCTTTTCGTCTTGGAAAAAAAATATATATTCAATAATGGCACCCGTTTAATTATATTAATCGGGTTGAATACTTTTAAATAGCAGAAGCAGTTGCGCCGAGGGGACTAAAATATCTGACATGCTTAACGTTGTTGTGAGGTGAAAATGTTCATTCATTTGAGGTGCTGCCGGAATGGGTGACAGGGTTCATTTTTCAGTAAATGGGATTTTCACAGGATTTGAGACACTGCTTTTACACATTTTTTTTTTTTTTTTTGCCTCAAGGATTTCAGATCCTCCGCCATTTTAAGTGAAATGTATTTTTTGTGTGTGTATTTGGCGGCTTGTGTATATAGCCCTTTTTTTATTATTATTGGAGGTAATGGATGGCTGTTAAAAAGTCACACAGGGTCATCGTTGTTGATGGAGGAAGGCATCTATTATTCTGTAAAATGGCACTCTTAAAAAGTTATATTTGTTGGGGGAAATCTCCAATAAAAGTCTTTATCCTGTAGTTTTACATTTGTTCAGTCTTGATCAATGTGTCTCAGAGACATTTTAGGACAAAAATACAGACAGGAAATATAATCTGAGAGAAAAAAGTGCCTATTAGGTTCTCTTGTCATATAATGTAATATAATGTAAATGCGGAGGCCTTATAGTGCTATATGTTCATAAATGTTAGAGCAGTGTGGTCCAGCAGGATTTGAATATCTTGTATTGTCTGTTGTTTTTCTCTTCTAATAGAAGTTGTCCTCTGCATTAACATTAAAAAACATTAGATGCATTAAAAACATTCAGTTTTACGACTGTAGAAAAGAAAGAAAAATAAAAAGCAATACATTTTCCAGAATCCATAATAACTGTTTTATTTATGTAGCCCAACATCACCAATTTACGTCACAGATTTACAATCTGCCCAACAGACCTCTGTCCTTAGAACCTTGAGTCGGATACTTCACTAAAAACATTTGGAGAAAACCTAAACTTCACGGAGAGTAGCAGCAGAATCCCTCTTGCAGGATGGTTTTATACAGGACCTGGACCACAAAACTTCAAACCAAAAAACTCTACCAACACATACTGTTAGTGCAGAAGGAGTACCAATCCATCCCTCCAAGTATACGGCTCCTATTTACTATTTCAATGTATTTCTGTTTGTTTAGGAAAACATTAAGTGTGTCACATCCCCGACTTGGTTGTGCGCAGTGTTGGCAGATTGATCACTTTTCAGGCCACTGGAGACAAGATCATTTTTTACCCATTTGAAGCTATCCTCTCCACCTGGATGGATGTGTTTAAAATCAGTAAACAACCAAAACAAAATGAAGTGGAGGGGGCATCACAGACTGTGCCTTTTAAATGTAACCTTTAAAAACTACTTTCTAAATGCGCAAATATTCACAAATATCACAGAATTGTGGGAAATGCAATTTAATAAAGCTTTCATTTGGACCACCCACCCTCCCTCCCTCCACAATGTGTACTCCATGGTTACACCCTTGCTCACACTGTTTGCTTCCCAGCGCTCCGGAGTAAGGGACAGGGAAACCATTATGAGTGCCAAAGTGAACATGGAGGCTGCACCCAAAGAACCCGATCGCACCCCTTTGGACCCGGCCTCCTCGTCCCCCAGCGAGGCCATCCTCATCTGCGGGAGTGATGGTGTGGCCAAGAAGGCGCGGCCCCCGCCTCACACCACCACAGCTTTCCTCCTACCAGGTGAGCACAGGGTTTAGTGAGACCTTTCTTTAACCTGGGGATGGAGGCGTATTCCATGTATAGTGTATATAATCCGATAAAGACACTGATTCTGATCTACCACTGAAGGTCTGGTGTCACACTCAAAAGAGAGAGTCTGGATGGGAGCGGCTTGGTAGCTGAATGGTTACAGCACACGTCACATAACCCCCTTCTCTCCCCTTGTTTCCTGTCTGTCTCTCCACTGTAAAGAAGACTGTAAAGGCAAAAAGTACACAACATTATTTGCAAAAACTAGTTAAAAAAACTTGGCAAAAAATACAAGTCACAGCTATTTTCCTTTTCACTCACTCCTACAATGTTTCATCTCATTCACTGGGAGTATATCTCAGGACCTAAACCAAGGATCCTTAAAAGTCTAAATTAGGAATCTAGAAGCACAGATGAGGGTTTATGAGAGGCCCGTTGATTAACAAAGCCAGGATATGTTGGAAGGTTAGATTTCCCTGGATGATAAATATTCCTAGGATAAAACGTGACCATCTGGTCCCTTGATGGTTATTTAAGGTTTAACTAGAGTTGTTAAAGATTAGGCAAATAATTGATTATTTATTTTGTTTCTCATGTTCCAGCTTCTCAAAAGGCAGGATTTGCTGCTCTCTCTGTGTCACATATTATCATAAAATGAATATTTTTGGGGTTTTTTGACGTCAGCTCTGGCTTGTTTTCATATTTGACATTTCATGGACCAAATGATTGATCGAAAAAATAATAATAAACTGCGGGCATTTTGCCACTTTTGAAAGGGGGCATGTCAGAAAATGGATGAATGGATAATGAATATAATCATTAATTGCACCTCTACTTGTCACAACTTGATATAAGACCAAAGATACTGTGGTCAGAGCAGTCAGCTGCTGCACTGTCCTGTTGCTAGAGGATGTTTTATTGTTTAAAATGTATAGTCTATATATCTCAGTATTTACTTAACAATGACTTATTGATGTGAAAATGCAACATGTACGTATCCCCTTTAAAAGTTGATGCTTGCACTGGATTGTGTCAGTATAAGTCACCTCAAGTGATGTCATTTGAGTCAGCGTCAGTTGGCGCTGAAGACTACAAGAGTGAAAAACCAAAAAGCGTTCGAAAGAAGTGAGCTTACTCCTCATCTTGAGGCCAGCGCTCGAGACTACATTAGCGTTGCCATTACTCCAATCGACCAAACAGTTAGGGGTCAGGTGCACTGTGGGTAATGTAGGCGCCTGCTTGTGAGAAGAAAGAAGAATGTGTGGAATTAAAACAGACGATGTCTGTGGTTCTTCTGCATCATTGTTTTTAAACTGTCTGAGTAATGTTACAAGTGTGCAATGCGTGTGTTGGGTACTATGACGGTATATATGGTTGTGGAAGAAACACTGGTCTCCAGGTACACAGGCTAACAGTTGATCACACTACCATTCTGTACCGTGAGGTGAATTTGCTTTTCTGTTAAGGTTTATAGTGAGTTACACAAAGTATGTTAACAGAAGATTGTGATAAACGAAGTAGAAAGTTAATGAACTTGAATGCACCTCTCCCATCAGCTCCTGCTCCCGGCCATCAGAAGATAGAGGTCACTCCAGCTGTTGCCGTGGGAGACCCAGGTAAAGGAGGAAGGGCCAGTGAGACGGTCACACCCACCCTGACAGCACAAGTGGGCGGGGCTTGTAGCATAGTCCACGTCCTAGAGTGGAAGGAGGGGATGGCCATCCTGCCGAGCAGCAACCTCAAGGTGAAGTGATGTTTCTGGCTTCAGCACGTGTTGTAAAGACTGTTTAATATTTAGTTCCTCCGGGTGTAGCAGCCAAACTATCTATCTTCCCTCACAGTATCTTATTTAGAAAGGATTTCTAGCTATTTTTCATTTGCTTGTTTTCTCCTCAAAGAGCTTTATAGATCGTCCTGGTGGCTCACTTGGTAAAGTCTCATTGATTTTGTTCACACACTAATTAAATAAGCCACATCACTGGAAATGTCTATTCACAAGATCAACTGCAGAAAGATGACAATAAACAAGGTGCACATCAGTCAGATGTCAAACATCCACTGAAAAACCCATTACATCATCATTGATTAGGTCTGATATGATTTGTGGAGCAATTGATGAGTGGATTAACAGAAAATTAATAATACATTAATTAGTATTAGTAAATACATTAAGTCTTTTATAAAGTAAAAACTACACATTTTAATTATTAATGTCAAATGTGAAGATTTTTTCATATTTTGGTAAATTTATTTTTTTTCAAAAATATATATCAACAAACGCTATGTTGACCATTTGTCACGACCTTTGACATTTTTATAGACTTAACAATGAATCCACTCATTAAACAATAATCTATGAATAAAATAAAATACTGTAACATATTCTGAGATTACTGATGTATTTGGCTCACTACACAATTTAGACGTGGAGTTAATGGCTACATTAAATAGTGTCATTGTATGTACAGTATGTACCAGGTACTCATGATTTAATGTTCCTGTTAACCGATCACACAAGGAACTTGACGGGATGATAAATAATGATTGGCCAACTGAACAATGCAATATACCCATTACATCTTGAAATGAATGTAGGCAAGGACATTTTATTCTCAACTGACCACTGTCATGTAAACAGTGTAAACAATTAGAGCTTTATTGCTGGTTAGTGATAATCCAGTCCCAGCGCACTTACTGGATGCACTTTTAACTCACACGTGTGAAAGCACCCAAGACTCCCAGATATAATCTGATCTCACACCTGTTCCCTTTTAAGTTGTTCAGGGAAGCATTTTGCCACATTAACAATGAAAAGACCTGAAAAATTAAAATTTTGGGTACGTGAATTGAATTAAAATGTAACATTTGGATCAGAAAGCACTGGAACTCACCCAGTATAAAGGAGGATAAACCAAATTTGATCCACGCTAATCAGAACAATATCTTACTAAATCCAGACTCCAGACTTCTCAACTGGAAGAAACTAGACTATTTTGAAATAGTCCAATAAACGCAGGAATAAAGGGGTTGAATCGACGTGGTGAACATCAAGACACATTTTGACAGATGGATCCATTGATGCGTGTGTTTGTGTGTCGTAGTTCTGTGTGAGTGACGTAGGAACGCTGAGCACACTGATCACCCCAGGGACCACCAGCAGCAGCACTGAACCAACAGCCGGGACTTCTGGGAGATCTGCTGACGCAGAAAGTGCTCCGGCAGACAGGCCAGGTAGAGTCATGGTTACATAAGGCTAGTAACGTCAGGGACTGAACACAAAATACTGCAGTTTTTTAATTTTCACTGAAAACATTTCAGAACTAGAAGCTGCCAGTTTTAACGCCTTTAATGAAACAGGCTTTGTTTTCAGATGTACCACGTGTGCATCTCCTGTATTATAGCACATATTTGATTAGTAAAGCCTTTTCATGGAAGGAATAAAACATCTGAGTCTATTTGCTGGTGTTGCAGGTGTCATGCTATTTAAGGACTGTTTCTTTATATGGCTTCACTGTTATTAGAAGTATTTCACAGCACGCCCTTTCCAGTGATCATCACTTGTGTGTGTGTGTGTGTGTGTGTGTGTGTGTGTGTGTGTGTGTGTGTGTGTGTGTTAAGCAGCAATGAGCAATAATTACATCAGCTGCAGCAGAGCTCCTCTTAACAAGTGAAGAGAGTGCAGCTGCAGAAATATCAAGCAGGCATCACTCAGATGTGTAGAATAATCCAAATCCAGACAATAAATGGATGAAAGTAATAAGTAGTGGAAATAGTCAAAAATAATAATAGTAACCAGAAATACAGTTATAATGCCGTAACAGCACCCATGTTAATTCAGTAAATACAAATCAATGAAAGTCAAAGGAGAACCGCAGAGTTTTTTATTTAGATTTTAAATTTAAATCTGTATCAGCTTTCTATTAATAACTTCTTCTGTCAGATGTGTCAACTCCTGTCGTCTCCGTGAGAGGTGCAGCCGTGGAGCCAGAGAGGTTTGTGCCGGTCAAACCTGAAGTCCAGGTTGGACCGGGACAACAGAACCACGATCCTAGAGCTCAGAGGACCTACACAGATGAGCTACGCAGAGAGCCCATCACTGACAAGTATGTTGGTAACAGCTGCTTCTCCTTTGTACATGTATGGAATGTATTATTTTAAAATATGTCTCAGTGAATCAATCATGTTTCAATGCTCACTTGTATGTTCTGGCACACCAACTGTTTACAAAGCTGTTTATTTGGTTGATGGTTGTATTTTTCTTGTTTCCATGGGTCATTTCCTCTTTAAATGTGCCTTTTCAAAGTGTTAATACTAGTTACTGCTAGTGGCAGATGAATGAGTGTAGTCCAGTGTTGATTTCAAGGGGAATCTGACCTGTTGGCAGGCATTAAGAATAACTATATAGAAATAGCCGATCTTCTTGCTGATGGTCTTGTTTGTTTATGTAGATCATATAGAGACATCAGTATTAAAATGAGAGAATATGAGTGTACTCTCAATACAACATCTGTTTGAATGTAATACAGAGAGGAAAAAACACTGAAACATTAAAGTACGAGGCAGAAATGAACACCATGCTAATAGAAAAAATAAGGAAACGTGATGTGTTGAGACTTGAAGAACACTGTATCTGTCCCCTCCGCACCTCAGGAGGAGTGTCGGGGTAGAGAAGGTGCCAGCAGGTGGGAGGGTCTCCTCCCTTAACCCCGATCATCTGAAACCCATGAGGAAGAGGAAGAGGAAGGAATACCTGAGTCCCTCTGAGGAAGACTCTGACATCGAAGGCACGGTGGGAGAGCATTGTTATTTCCATTTAACATCCAGGGATAAAGATATCTGATGAGTTTAGTAAGATAAGCATGAAAATGGCTGAAGTATTTTAAGTGACATGGTTGATGAAGGTCAAATAGTCCAAATAACACAAAGATATTACATGTTTTTCTTTAGGATGAGAAAATGGATGATTCTAAAACCGACATCAGACACATCAGAGGAGGTGGGACTAATCATTTTTTAACATTTGTTAACTTTTCGTTGGTCTCTTATATCACCTTTCATCCTTTTTCTGCACTTATTTGAACATTGTTTTGCTGTCCAGTACATCTGTTTTCCTCCCTTCCTACTCTCCCCTTACATACAGAGGGAGACACCTTACAATGTCAAGTCATGATAACATATCTCTGATAATATAAATGTACTTTCATACAACGACACCACAAATTATGACCTGAAAATGACACACTATCCATTAAAAGGCCATAAAAAAGCCCCGAAAATGACCGAAGTTGAATCAACGTCTCTCTGACACTATCAATAAATTGTGGGTTGTATTTATTGTAGTGCTGCAGCACTGAATCGTGTTATAGCCTCAAGTGATCCTGTTATTTCATCCAGTCCCTGTACGTCCTTAATACCTTTCCTGTGGTCTGTCCATCCTTTAAGTACTTTAATTCCTTTTTTTCAATACTGTTCCCTGTAGACAGGGCAGGTAGATACATGGACATGCTAATATAATGTTGTAGTGGTATCAGAGATTGAACTTTTTCACTCAGAATTTGTGTGTGAAATTACAGGATCAGAGATCTTCAAACATCAGCTGCTCAGAGAATCTGTCTCCCTCCTCCTTCCTGTACATGTTTCTTCCAGTTTGAGTCTATTTTCTGGTAATATGCTTTTGTAATGCTCATTGCATAAATTAATCAACCATGTGCTTCATTTATATTTTTGATGAAGCTGGCGACAGTAAGACAGAGCAGTGGACGTGGGCTCAGTATCTGGAGGAGAGCAAAGCTGTTGCTGCACCCAACAAGCTTTTCCAAGAGGTATGTTTGAGTTTAATATTCAGACTGTAGTTTCAGCCTGAGCTAGTGCCACATACACACGGGTTCACCCAGTATACCCAATAGTATTATTTTGTATTACTTCTCTTACTACCACTGCAGCTCTGCCAACAGCAAGGGGCCAATTCTATCGCCCCACTGCAGCATTGTCAAGAGAGGAAATGAGAAATGTAAATTTACCTGCGTGTAAGTGATGTAGGCAGCCAAAGGCAGACATTAATATGTTTGATTCTGTTACAGAGTATGATGAATAAACATTAAAATTAAAACACAATAAGATCTCTTACGATATAAACATTTTTTCAACACAAGCTTTGTCTTGAAGAGAATCAAATTATAAGTATATGATAAAAACACTGTAATCCCCACTAGCCCATCTGCTGTGTTCTTATCTTTTCTATGTTTTTCGTTCAGATTGAGTTTTCAAACAAGCATCACATCATTTTACTTCAACCTCAGTGGTCTGTATAGAAATATGTGCTCTTTTATCCCATGTGTCCAGTCCCAGAGAGTGCCTACAGTGAAGAACGGCTTTAAGCAAGGGATGAAGCTGGAAGGCATCGATCCGCAGCATCCGTCCATGTACTTCGTCCTCACTGTGGCCGAGGTGAGTCAGACGTCCATTAATGTGGTCGATGGATCTTAATGGCCAGGCTGATTATTTAGGATTAAAGATCACTGTTCACTCACTGCTTTGCATGCAAGAGGAGCTCTCCAGCCTGCTTTTATTTCTCTAATGTATCACGTCATCATCCAGGTCTGTGGTTACCGGCTTCGGCTCCATTTCGACGGCTACTCTGACTGCCACGACTTCTGGGTGAATGCCAACTCACCCGACATCCACCCCGCAGGCTGGTGTGAGAGCACAGGACACAAACTGCACACTCCCAAAGGTCAGAGGTGACAGCACTCTGGACACCATGAAAGACCAAAGACCAAATACAGTCTAAATAGAATAAAATAGCATGGACCTTCACTTCTGCTTAATCTTACCTTTCACAGGATAGCTGCAGAACTAGTTCAGCAGTTTGGAAAACAAACTCATTCACTTTCTTCCCAATGGTTATATGAGAAGATCGATACCATTCATGTCTGTTAAGTAAATGTTAAGCTGGAGCCAGCAGCCACCTAGCTTAGCTTAGCATTATGACTGGAAAGCATTAAGCCTCTAAAACCACATTATGTCTTGTTTGTTTAATTTGTTCAAAAAAACCAAAGCATAAAAAGCACCACATCGTTTCACTGCGGGTTATGTGCAGAACTATTTCTTGGACAGGCGCAGTAACATTGTGGAATCCCCACTGTTGCCCGGCAACCTCGCGATAACGATGAAACTCTTTTTGAACATATCAAACAAATCACATACAAAATGTTAATAAATTAGTTTTAGAGGTGCTGGTCGGTGGGTTTCGTGACCTGAGCAAGGCTCGCCGTTTCCAGTCTTTATGCTAAGCTAAGCTAACAGCCCCTTGCTATAGCTTAAATATTTTTACACATATAAGAGTGGTATCAGTCTTCTTGTCTAACTCTGGACAAGAAAGGGAATAAGCTTTTCCCAAAATGTGAAACTATTCTTGTAAATGTTGGGTTGTTCTCCTAAAACATGAATCCTTTAATGTTCTCTCTGTATTCCTGTCTTCCCTACAGGCTGTAAAGAGGAGGAGTTTACCTGGACCAACTACCTGAGAATGACTAAAGCACAAGTGGCTTCCAAAGAACTGTTTGCCAGTCCTGGGAGGGTAACTGCCACTATATAATATACGGTAGTTGTATTATCTACAAGCATGAATGGATGAGGTGAATGATTTAGGGTTAGGAAAACCCCAACTCCAATGAGAAGAAATTATTTAAAAAACTGTTTCTTTTAAACAATTTGCAACCTCTGTTGCTCTCAGAAAACACGTTGACTTTAAGAAGATAATGAAAGTAAAATACCAAAAGTGCCCAAATGAAAAATGTGACGGTATTCAAATATTTATAGCTGCTACCTGTGTTGCTTTGTCAAAGTCAGGCCTGGGGTCCTGTCTGACACTTTTATGTTAATACTGTGAGGACATAGTAAGGATTTATAGGTGTTTGTTTTGATGTTGACTTCCTTCTGCACGCTAGTGCTTGCAGCGCTCAAGCTTCAATATATCAACCTGGAGCAGTCTTTCACCATTTTAGTGATTAGTGATTTCATAAACACAATTACAAGCACTCAAACAGCACGATTTACTTTTATTTAGTTTTTATGTATAACTTTCACATCATTTATCAACTAGTCCACAGCTCTGTCTGTCTCTACTTTATAATGTGCACCTGCCAAGTAATTTCTAATATTTCTGCTTTCTGTTTAGATCGATGTGAAGTGTGGTTTTGAGATAGGAATGAAGCTGGAGGCCGTTGACCGTATGAACCCCTCCCTCATCTGTGTAGCAACCGTCACTGACGTGGTGGATGACCGCTTCCTGGTTCATTTTGATAACTGGGATGACACATACGACTACTGGTGAGCCTCAGAAACATCGGGGATGAGTGGGCTTTGGGAAATAATCTAGAATAACTATGAACAGCTGTGGGGGTTTTGTTATTCTAAGAACTTGCCAAAGAAACATGATAATTATGGATCTCTTGTAATATTTTCTGTCATCAAGAGAAACGTAACCAACATTGTTAAGGCAGCTCACTGATGCCTGTTAGAGTTTACTAAAAAATTCTGTATCCTGTGGCCTGAAATATTTAGTCTTTGTTGAACTTAAAGCTGTACCTTTGGTCGTCTCACACAGGTGTTTTCATTTGGCCTGAGTTAGACCTCCTCTCAGGGTTGTGTGAGTGTCCATATACTGTGTTTGACATCCCATCTGTATGTTTATAATTGAAGTTTATTTAAATATTTAAAAGGGACAATGCACATTAAATGAGTCCACTATGTAAATGCGCCAGATTTTACAGGCTAATTTCTAATCTGCAGTCCCGGCAGGTTGATGGCATATCAGAAACATACAAAAGCACATAAGCACAATTCTGTAAAGTTATTCACTCATTGCTATTTTTTCAGTTCCTAATCTAGTTATTTATACATTTGTATAAATATTTTGCATTAAAAAAATGTGAAAACACCTGTGTGACTGTGCTGGGCCTTTAATAGTGCTTTCACATCTCATCTGTTTGGTTGAATTAAAACCAGCTCTAGTGCATATTATCACCATATAAAGTCTTACACTTATACTAAGTACTGAATACTTACACATTCAGTACAGAGGGAAACAATTCAGCATTCAGTAGTTGTGTTTGTATTATTGAATGAAATTGCATTTGTTGCTAACTGTGTCTGTCGTATACAACTGTTTCTTTTATCAGTGTGTTGAAGCTATCTCAGTAGAGCTGTACAATTTGTCAAGCTGTATGTACAGTTATTGAACACGCCGGTCAAAGTAGATCTTTTTTGCACAGACTCATAACCAACTCGTTTGTTTTCTGTCATTTTTTTTCTGTCTCTACCAATTTTGCCGTAACCTCTCAGAAATGTCTATTTTCACTCAATGCTGGACGTTGATGTTGTTTGTTGAACTATGCAGGTGTGATTCCAGCAGTCCGTACATTCACCCTATTGGTTGGTGCCAGGAGAGGAACCTCCCTCTAACACCACCCCAAGGTGACCAGTGTGTTCCCTGTTAATCATTCATTTAATCATAGTTCATAGTCATAGCATGGGTCATTAACTTTAAAAACAACTCTGCCAAATTATTCCCCTTTGCTTCTTTCAGGGGAATATGTACAGAACACTATAAATATAATGTACATGTAAATAAGGAAATACACATGTTAAAGATTTGTAATGGGTTTTACATTTTATGCTTAATAATCACACAGATTAGCTCATATTAGACATATAAGATGAACATTGGGCAACCGGTGTGGGACCAAAGCAGAAATGTGCAAGGTGGCATGTAGGGGATGAATGTTTCTGTTTGTATTCACTGACTGATGTGAGTTTATTTTTGGCTGCACCAGATTACCCAGACCAGGGCCGGTTCTCCTGGTCTCTCTACCTGGAGGAGACTGGTGCCAAGGCGGTGGCCGCTGACGCCTTTAAAGTGGTGAGAACAAAGAATAAATGTACTATTTTGGATTCAACTCACAGTATGATAATGAGGAAAAGATTACACTTGGGCCTCTAGTTTAACTGTAGTGTGGTTCTGTCGTATGGGCTGGCAGGAAATAGCAGCGACGGTGTAGACGGAGCCGGAGTTAAAGGAGAGTAATTAAAACTAATGAGATCTGTGGTTTGTTACAGTCCCAGTTATATCAGTTACTTACACTATATCGTGAATGTTATCACAGCTGATGGATCTGTAAGAGTTTATTACTACCTGTTTATAAGCTCACAGTATGTATTTACTGTATGTGCATACTGTACAGTTTATACATTTTACCAAAGCAAAAACATTGCAATTAAATACTACAAAGGACAAGCAGGTTTGCTGGAAAACATGTAAAGAATGTTTGACATGTTTGGTTATTAAGTAATCATCCTCTTGTCTCCAGCGTGCAGCCCACAGCTTCCAGCCTCAGATGAAACTGGAAGCCGTGGACAAGAGAAGTCCTGGTCTGATCAGAGTGGCTACAGTAGAGGAGGTCGACACTCATCGCATTAAGGTAATACTGTGTGTGTGTGTGTGTGTGTGTGTGTGTGTGTGTGTGTGTGTGTGTGTGTGTGTGTGTGTGTGTGTGTGTGTGTGTGTGTGTGTGTGTGTGTGGTGTCAGCTTGTATTTCTGAGGATTTAAGTACTAAACATCTGAGGTTATGAAGGTTATGATCTTGTATGTGTGTGATATTTTAAATGTTTCTCAAGCTCCCTCAGGTCCATTACAGTGTGTGTTAGTAAGTGTTTGTTGGGGCTGTGGACTAATGGGTTTTATGTGCCCGCTGCAGTAAGAGCTTATATGTACTGATATCATAAAAACGTATGTCTTTATAACCATCCCCGGACCCATTATACAAGTGGAGCTGCATGTGTGCATGTACAGTATTTTTTTATGTGTTATTGCTCCATCTTTATTCCTCCTTCAGGTCCATTATGATGGCTGGAGTCATGTCTATGATGAGTGGATGGACTCAGATCACCCCGACATCCACCCAGCAGGCTGGTGTGAGGCGACTGGTCACCCCCTCAAAGTTCCTCCACGGGACACCAAAACACAGCAGCCACATGGTAGCAACGTTGTCACTTAATCAAACCTGGAAGTCGATTTCTTTCAAAAATTCATATCAAATTTATTCTTGATAGCTAACATTAAACTGTATCAGAATTAGTATTTTCTGCTCTGAGCTAAATGTACCCCTGCAAGGCCCCAGGGTGCCACGTAAATGAAAATTAAACTGGGAAATAGAGCAACTGCAATTGGTCAATTAAAATGCTCATTTAAATAAGAACATTCTGTGAAAACATCGATTTATTTCCCAGTTGAAATTACACATTTACTCTGTTGGTACTGAGCTTCTTATAGATTCTGGATTGGTTTATAACTTTTTTACATTTAATTAATATTTTCTTTGCCAGTTCCTCTGAACTATGTTCAATGTATGTTGCTGATATACACTGATCAGCCATAACATTATGACCACCTGATGCTCGGTGCATATGTGTTGTTATCAGTATATACTGCTCTAAATTGGTATTTTTCACTTAAGATATTTTGACATGTCACAGCAGGAAAAGCACAGGTGTAAATAATGAAATTAACAGTGGCTGAATTCCATTTAGCTGCTTAGGTGTTCATCTGTCTGTGTTTGAATGTAAGTAGGTGTGAGGGAACCTCCTGCTACAGGCCAGTCCACCTACCCCTCCTCTGTTCCGTGTAAACCCATCAGCCACCCCAGAGCCAACAAGTACAGCTTCCACAACAGGTCAGCACTGAACTCATCAGGTCATTTAATAAAGGCATTACACACCAGGGCCAAACATTCAAAATACACATCAATACCCGGGGCCGTAGAAAACTTTTTTTTTTAAATGACTCGCTCTTCTGAAAATATACTGGGGGGCTCTGTCTTTGAAACAGGAAGTGTCCGACTCCTGGTTGTGATGGTTCAGGCCACGTGACGGGTCGTTTCACTGCACATCACTGCATATCTGGCTGCCCATTGGCTGAGCGTAACCAGGGCAGGCTGAAGGCCGAACTGTCAGATTCAGAGTGCAAGAGGAACATCTTCTTTGGCCAGAGGACCAAAAAGACCCATTACCGCGGGAGGTAAAAGTGTGTGTGTGTGTGTGTGTGTGTGTGTGTGTGTGTGTGTGTGTGTGTGTGTGTGTGTGTCTGTATGTGCACGCATTTTTGCTTTTGTCTCAAATTAAACTTTTCCTCTGTTTTTAGGATTGGCCGTCCTCCCAAATACAGGAAGAACCAACAGAGAGACTACCAGAGTGAGTTATACCCACTATCAATATCTATTACCTGGCAGCTTTAAGGGTGTCAGCCTGTCAAACCTGTAGCTTTATCCTGCTTTATGTATTTCCCTGGTAAACTTTCATGTCACCTGCAGGTTTGAGTGTTGATTAATATCTGTCCAGAGATGTAACACAGTCTGGCAACAACTCCTCGTTTGTGAAAGATGTTGAAAGTTTTGGCATGAAAATGTTCAGACTGGAGAACTGTTGGCTGAACATTTGAACTAGTCTTTGCAGGGAAAGCACACGTGGAATTAACACTTTAATCATTGTTAATGACGACTCTGTTCCACTGAAGTCTCCGGGTAAGCCAGGACATCTAAATGGAACAGAGCCATTCATTATTTACACCTGTGCTGTTCCTGCAATAATGTGTCCGCTGTAAAAAAAGACCTGTTGGCAGTTTCAATCTGAAATATTTATCTAAGAGACCATAAATCAACAACTGTTGAATGTTTCTGTGTGTGTCTGTCCTCAGACATGTCCTCAGAGGGAGTGTATCCGTCACTGTTTATGTCGGCACTGAGCAGTCAGTCAGACAGGACTCTGTCTCTGTGCTGGGAGCAGCACTGTAAGCTGCTGCCCGGGGTTCAAGGCATTCACGCCAGCCAGGTGGCAGCATGGAGCGTCGAAGAGGTGAGCAAAGCTTACCGCTTACCTACATAGTCATTTATTCTCCTTCTCTGATTTATCTATCTCTTATCATATTACTTTTATCGGATGTGTTTGTGGTACAGGTCTTCAGGTTTGTCCAGAATCTAATCGGCTGTGAAGAACAGGCTCGGGTCTTCAAAGACGAGGTGAGACCACGTGTACGTGAATAAAATATTAGGTTCATTCCCTCATTTGTTACACATTTTCAAATGTAAACAGTCCTTTGCAGTCCCACATAACTAAATTGGTCTGGCCCATACACTCGGCCCAAATACAGCAATGAGTTACAGTCCACATGTGGACCAGATCTGGTAGCCACGGATGGCCCATGATGTCACTATATCAACTGTATGACCATAGCCGGCCTTATTCTGGCCCTAGTTTCGACAAGACAACTCAGATTTATCCTGTGACCCTTTGGAGGGGCATGACCCAAGGTTGGGAAACACTGGACTAAATTACCTAATTGGATGTGAAATAGCTCAAATTAGCTCCACCTCGACCAGCTACAACAATAAAATGCTACATTGACAGGCATTGGCAGTGACAGCACTCCAAATTAAGGATTTCCCAGGACACAAAGATACAGTGTCTGGGACAATAGAGAAATTGATCATTACAAATGAATTATGTTTATACATCATGGAATATCATTTTAATTGTTAGGTGGTCAAATTTTAAAAATGTGAGCCAACTGCTGCCAACTTGGTGACTTTGACTAGCGACAAATTTAGCGAAATATTCAGACAATCATAAAAAAGGTGAGAAATATTTTCAAATATTACATTTTAATTTATTATATTATCAGTAATCACAGTCTACAGCTCATCTGCCAACAGTCCTGGGGTCTCTCCCTCTCCTCTCACGCCATGTGCAGGCAGTCAGTTCGTGTGGCCTGTGGGTCACGTCTGACCTTCTCTCTCTCTCCAGATATCCGGATTAGGATGTTCCTTTAGCTTATAAGTAAATACTTTGTTTGAGCTTGTAAATATTGAAATAGTTTGTTTGACTCCAAATATACAGTGTTCCTGTAGTGAGTTTGTGATTATTGAATAATAATGTTAAAAGTGTGTGGATTACATCCGGCGCCGGTGCGAGCAGGACGCTTATCCAGTAGCTCCGTATCTGTCGTGTAGTTTTTAGTACTTTAAGTGTGTTTTTTTAAACATTTAACTCACCCTCTGCACAACACCTTCACCAGGCAGAGGAGTGTGTTCAGGGGCAGACTGCTGTCTCAATCGAGCTCCACCAACAGACTCAAAAACTCTTTCGTCCCCCTGGCCATCAGACTGTACAACAGCTCTTAGTCAAGGCAGGGAGGACAATAGATAATAGACAACGGACAATTTCTACCTCCATTTGCACTGTTTACTGTGGCTACTGTGTTATAAGTCAATTTTATTTTTAATTTTAGTTTAATGTATGTTTTGTATGTTACTGGATACTTGAATTTCCCTCAGGATAAATAAAGTATCTATCTATCTATGTAAATTTCCATTGCCATATACCTGTCAGAAACAGGTTTGCATTTGCACTGCAGTTTGTATTGATACATTTATTAATGAAACAGAGATAAATAAGAAACAGTAACACAGTAAGTAACCAATGACTAAACAAATAGTAATAACTAATTGTGGCCAAACACCTAGAGTGTTTTCATTCAGATATAAGTGCAGGGAACAACTAGCAGAAATTCAATGCAAGTTACTGAAACAAAGTTATTTAACTATATTCATTATATTCAGTTTGGAACAATTTTTGTTTAGTCAGGGATAGTTGTGGGACAACAGTTAATTTCCAACCCTATGCATTGATGCAGCAGTATTTATAATCTAATAATGTCATATTTAATAATTTATTGTTTATAGAGGCCATTTTTCTGCAGAATGAGGACTTCCGCTTTCAGTACTTTAAGTACGTTCTGCTGATAATACTGTGTAGGATTTGTCCGTTGCTGTTTGTAACCATTCAAAGTTATGAAAATCCTGCATTGTATGACTTCAAGTGTAATTTTTAATGGAGTAATTTTATTTTGTTGTATTAGTACTTTTAGGATCTGAAGACTTGTTCCACCACTGTAAGAAGTTCAGTTAACATTAAACTGTACTAACTATAGTGTTAGAAATGTCCATCCAATCAAATGAACACCTCTGACCATCTAAAAACAACAGACTAAGATGATCTTCGGTATTATCTGCAGGGCTGTTATATTTTATTATAATGTGTTTCTGTTATTTGGTCCACCCCCCATGAGTACTTATGGCAGATAAAACAAACCTTTTCTTCACCTCTCACCTCCAAAGCCTGTACATTACCACTGTTGTGTCTGCGTCTTCCCCAGATGATTGACGGGGAGGCCTTCCTGCTGCTGACTCAGACCGACATTGTGAAGATCATGAGCATCAAGCTAGGCCCTGCCCTCAAGATTTCCAACGCCATTCTCATGTTCAAGAGCACAGACGAAGGACTCAAGTGATCCCGCCGTCACTCACTGGGGGGCGGGGGGACTGGTCCACCGATCATCATGTGCCAAATTCATTTTGTTGCAGGGAAAAGACCCTGGCCCCTTTTTCATGTGTTTGGTGTCCTGTACCCATCAGAGAGAGGGAGGGGGGAGGGGGGAGGGGGGAGGTGAGGTCCTATCAGGGTTAAAGGGGAAATAAAGAAGAGGCTGGAAGAAGAGAGAGACTTAGAAAATACAGATATTTTTTTGTAAAATAATGGAGGAATGTCATTACAATGGCGGACAAATTGGTGTGGAGGGTGGATAGGAGTACAGCACAGGTTTTCAGAGTTTGGTGGTTTTCACAACAGTTACACATCTGCCAGTCTGTGCTATGTTGGGCTAAAACTTTGTGTGGAAAAGTGGAACATTTTTGCAAAGAGGTATCTAGGGTCATCTGAAGTGTTAACGGTCCTGTATCAACAGAAACATCTTGCTGCTGCTCACAGCAATACAGGAGATACTTGTACTATTTGTATATCCCTGTTGATGCAAGCCTTTAACACAGATTAGTTGAAACTGTACCCACCACCTTGCAGAGATGGACTCGACATACGCTTTGGGACTAAATTTTTAGGAGTACAGTTCCGACATCAGTCCAAAAGCCCCTGACCTGGGAGGCAAAATCAACACTCGATACTATATGTACTAATAGAAATTCAGGAAGGGGAGGACTGAAGGTAGGGGGGGAAACATAGCCAAAAAGTAAGAGGAGTTAAATGCAGTAGACGAGGCTCCTACAAGCCTCACGTTTTGTGCAATAAAACAGTTGAGACAGAAGTACTGTACTCGGTAACACTTAACATTACAGCTTCTTTCTGTTATCCAACTGATTCTTATATATTCTCATTATGTTACACTGTAACATAATAAAAATGAAAATGAAATAAATAAGCTGTTTTGTTCAGGCCATAGGAAAAAAGGTTCAGGTTTGTGAGAGAAAGCCTTTCCTCAGTTCTACGATTATTCTTAAATATTAGTTGTTTGAGTTTACTGCCTCTCCATGCTGTACTGCCGTTAATGTGAAAACTCAAGTGATGCAGGACCTGTAATTTAAACTGTTATCCTCGTATATAGAATCTAAACAACACAGTGTTTTGAGTTTTTATATCTATATGCAGAAGATCTTAAATTATTATTTTTGCAATTCTTAATAGATGAGACAGTTTGCATTGGCGTTTTAGCACAACTGTGAAACCTAAAGGGACTTTACAATATGATGTTCCCACACTCGGTCACTAGAGAGTGCAAAAATCCAAATTTTTAGCACTATAAACTTGGATTTAGGATCTAATCAATGGAGCTCTCTGCAGTTTACATGTAATGGAAACTGTGTTCTTTGAAATGTTTACATTTTATGTCAGGATTGGTTAAAACATACTGTATGGATTTGATATTGTGAGACGAACGTTATTTTACTGGACAGTTTAAGGGCTCTTGGTATTTTACTTCTTTGTGTGTCTCTCTGGTGGGATTTGTGTGTGTGTGTGTGTGTGTGTGTGTGTGTGTGTGTGTGTGTGTGTGTGTGTGTGTGTGTGTGTGTCAAGATAATCTTGGGTCACAAATGTCATTCAATCCATATAATTAATAAACGTCCAAAGCTGTCTTGTCTGATTAAAGCCACTGCCTCCTGTCTTATCTGAGTGATCACACACACTGCATTTCCTGTGCTTGTGCAGGTGTGCTGTGTGTTTGTTGTAATATTTGTAATATTGACTATAAACTTACTTTGCTTATCATCACATCCCCCTATTGGGCATATTGTCGTCAACACTTGGCTGTGGTGGTGAAAACTCCTTTCACGCCCTTTCTGCTTTCGCTTCTTATCTTCTTGTTCCACTGTAGAGGCCAGAAAAACTGGCGTTGCTGATAACCTGCTGCTGCAGCCAGACAACAAAATGAAAGGACTCTGTTGGGTGGTAAATGTTTCATACGAGAAGGAACAGCAGGTGTGCAGAGCTTATTTTTTATCCCTTGAAAGGAGGATGCAAAGGAGACTGGAGACACTCTTGCTCTGTTGCTATCAAAATAAAAGTATGCTTACTTGCAGGAGTGGAAAATTCTAAAATGCTTTTAAAGTGCCCATCCACTCAAATATGTGATTTGCTTATTGGTGCTTTACTTGGATGTTTTAGCTTCACTGTGCAGAGACTGTTGTTAAAAGAATGTTTTCATGCTCAAGTTGGAAAGTTTCTCTGTGCTCTCTTCAAATTAAGTTTAAGATGTGTACATGCCAGCACGATTTTATGATGTTACTCTATTGCTCTGATCAGAACTAGTTTAAAAGCCATAGTTCAATATGCGTCTTACACAGGGCATGGAAGCCTGAAATCTCCAGCACACATACACTGAGAAAGTAGGAGACATCCTGTGTCCAGCAGTTAATCTTTTTTTTTTAATTACTTATTAAGGTAGGTCACAGATCTATACATAGGTATTTTATATGTTATGTCAAATAATATTACCAATTTCTTTCTTTCTGAGAGTTAATTGGGAAGATGGATACTACTCTCATGATGCCTTAACTACAAAGCTTACTACAGCTAGCCTAGGTCTGTCTGAAGTTGAAAAACACAGTTATTAACACTAAAGTTCATTAACATATTGCATCTCGTTTGGTTAACATGTACACACTCACAATTTGTGTTTCGTTGGTTTCATCCCTATTCAGGAAAGAGGCTAGTTGTTCCCCCCTTTAAGTCTTTATGCTAAGCTAATTGCCTCCTGGCTCCAGTTTTTTGGTATCATCTCATTTAACTCTTGGAAAGAAAGAAAATAAGCACATTTTCCATAATATTGAACACTTTCTACAGTGCCTAGTCAAAAAAGATTGAATATTAGCAGTGTCTTATAACATTACATTATTTACAGGAGTATTATTCAATCATTATATTCTGTGCAAAAAAGATATTTTATTCTTACAAAATAGAATATACATTATATGTATTACATACATATACATACAATATAATCTAGTAACATTTCCAAAGCTACTACTCTTATTTTGAAAGTGTACAGCAGAGTCCGGAAGTTAAATTATTTGAAGTGTGGGCAACCAACCCTCTCTCTCTCACACACACACACACACACACACACACACACACACACAGTCACAAAAGGTCTAAGCTCCGCCTCATTTGAAGCCTCTAACTTCTCATCAATGATTCACTCTCTTGAAGTCGACCTTCCTCTATGACCGTCTGAAATAAAGAAGTAAAAACTGACCTCAGATCCGCTTCAGCTGTGAGCCTTCTGCAGCTCTGCCAGCTCAAATCTGTTTTGAGTGTCCTCAGTGTCTGCGCAGAGTACACTGCCTGCACACTGACCACCTCTTCCTCTGCACACAGGTGAGCACACTGTACTTGTTTTACACTAATAACCTGCATTATCTGCATTATCTGTTAGTGCCTGTTTATTACATTAAATAAATGACACAGATTATTTCCTGTTAGTGGATTTTTCTCCTCACCAGCATTGTATTGTTCTTAAAAGTTGTCAGCTAGTAACCTTATTGTGCTGCTGTGGTATAATGCTAATATTCAGTAAAACAACATTATATCTGAAACACGTATTGAGTGTACAGTGACCTCAGGTTATTGATCTCCCTGTGATCACTTTCAGTCTATGTAGAGTTCACGCCGTGATGGTTTTTTTTAGGATTCTCCTCTTATTTTGTTTCTCTGGTCTTTGAATTTGTGCTGATTCATATTTATCAGACTTTTTTTCTTCTTTAATGAAAAGTCATAATTTTTCTGATAATGAATTGTTAGTTTATCATTTGTGGTATCTATCTCAAAACTTACTGAGGTATTCTTGAAACAGTTTAATGTATTACAGCTCTTGTCTGAGTCTGGGGTGATTTGGTGATTCTGTCTGCTGCCTCTTCTGAGGAATGAACCTTTGTACAGCAAGCAGCTGGTTGCCTCAGAAGTTTTCCCTGTTTTTTGTTGGCAAAAGTGGCAGCTTTACTTGCCTGTGGAAGATCAGTGTGGTTAAAAAAAGTTATAGTGAAGTGCATGATCATTTTAAATACCTCTCTTTGCACAGTATTAATAATGCTTCGCTGTGAGGTCTCAGATTCATTTTCCTTGACTTCAGTTCAGTCAGGAGATGGATTTATTTTTTATCTTGCAGTCATTTATTCAAACTGCAAAAGAAAAACCACGAATGCTTTGCAAATGTATTACATACAATATTACACATTGTGGACTGAATTCCCATGTTTCCTATTCAATGTGTACATCATGTGTTTTCTTCATGTAGATAGTGAATGTGGAAAAACTTACGGTTACAAGTTGGTGAAATTGACAATTTTAAATAATATACATTTTGCACAGCAGACTCCTTACGTCTTATGAATTAAGACGCCTTAATTAGAGTATTTTCTTAGGGGACAGTAAGAAGTTAACAATATAACAATAACATGTAGATTAATTTACAAAGAGGAAATTACATTGTTGAAAGCACAGCTCAAGTGAAGAAGTGTTAAGTCCAAAATGTGACTCAGTCGGTTTAGTCAAACTAAAGATGCTTACATTTGTTCTCCAAATACTTATTAATCTTATAATAGCTTGAATAATAAACAGCTAACTTGTGATCAGATATTTTACTATTGCAGGATATTTTTGTCGGTGCAACTGGATTCATTTAATGTAGATTTGCGCCTCACAACGTTATATAATTACAGTTAATGCAACCTGATAGAGGAATTATCTGCAAAATAAATAGTCAGATTTTGTCTTTATGCCTATAAAAACATTAACAGGCCTAGAAACTAGAATAATTGGGACATTTGTTTCATTTCTTGTGTGTGTGTGTGTGTGTGTGTGTGTGTGTGTGTGTGTGTGTGACCTCGGTCATCCCATATGTTTTGGCATATGTGAATGACACAACAATATTTACTGTGTAAACGTGTTCACTGATACAGTCCCTGCACACACACACACACACACACACATGCACATACACACACACACACACACACACACACACACACACACACACACACACACACACACACACACACACACACACACACACACACACACACACACACACACACACACACACACACATGCACACACACACACACACACACACACACACACACACACACACACACACACACACTCACACACTCACAGTATATACACAATGTCCTTCATTGTGTTTCTGTTGCTCCAGCATCTTGCTCCTTATAAACCAGAACTACCAGCTCCTCTGGATCCTCAGGCAGGTTGTCACACTGAGGTCAGCAGTTAAATACAAACACACACACAGCGGAAGCTTCTTCTGGGTCCGGGCTCATGAGAAGAAATCTTATCCGTGAAATGTGAGAAGGTTGAAGGGATAAAGGTTGATGGTTTGAATCCCAAACTGTTGCATCCTGCACAGCTGCTGGCCCCTCAATACCTCCTCTCCTCTCACAGGTCTGTCACACGCTGATGCTGGATCTCCAGTGGGAGTGGAATGGATAATGGCCATGGCACACTGTAATGTGAGTGCATTTCAGTCTCAGTACTAGAATCACTCTTTAACGTCTGCCTGATGCTTCTTCTGTATTTCACTTTGGGCCTGTTTAACCATGTGACAGTCGATCTGCCTACAGCCCCGTTTAAAAACTATTATTAGCAATGCATCCAGGATGTGGTTGTCTGTGTTGGACTGTAGTCTACCAGACATGATTTCAGGTCATCATGTCACAGTATCTCCACTGCAGCTTTTCCCTGGAATGCATTAAACATATCAGACAGATGATCTCTAACAGTGAGAGGTTCTGTAACTACACAGTCATCATGCAATGTGACTCAAATCCTCAAGTTTTTGTCTTCAGGCTGAATATTCTTTGCTTTTTGTTGCCACGGCTCCTGTGTTACCAGTTTGTTGAGACTATTTTGTCTCCAAATAAAAATGTTGAATATGTTCTAATTAAATGACCGCGGCCTTTAATGGCGAGAGTGGTGCCTATTAGGTTATTCTCACCTCGATTTATCAGCTTTACTGTGATGGACACTGACTGATGCTGATGTTGAATTGTGAAAGTAAATGAAAGTGATTTAAATTGGTTAGCAGGTATTTATTGAGTATTTGTTTATTTGTCCTCCAGCAGCGGTCACCGTCCTCCTCTCCTCATGATGACGTCAACCTGGGACCTTCAGCAAACCCACAGTCAGTAAAGTGTAGATCTCTTTGATGTTACACACACAGGGATTCTTCTGCTAAGACACACAGCTTAGAGTGTATTTTCAATGGTCTGGATCTGTGATTCAATTCAGTAAAAATCCTACCAAAAAAAGCTTCTTTAATGATGTATGTACTAAATTTTGTATTGTATGCTTCAGAATGCAGATTCCTGATTAGACAGACCAGTTTTAACATATTACTGCAGGCAGCTTTTGTGAGCTATGATAAATAAAGTGCTTTAGAGGTTGTTGCATAACTTTGTCTGCCAAACAGTACAATGCATTAATAGAGTCCTCTCTGTCTTGTTTCAGTGCCAGGCCCACTGACTTTGACTTCTTGGCTGTCATTGGCAAGGGCACCTTTGGAAAGGTAACACTGAAACAATTACTTATTTATCTATCTCTTTATTGTTGAATATAATCTTGTGTTTTTCTTTCATCAGTTTCCTTATTATAACTCATTCAGGTCACATATTCACCAGCAGGGACCTCTCAGGGAAAGTAGTTTTAGCTGGACTGGGCGACCTGGGGTGCCTTTAAAGAATAATAAATCTAATAGAGTAGAGGAATTAATGGTGGGTCATATAGATTAAGAGTCAGTGTCCGTGGATCCAGCTAGCTGCGGCGACTTTATCACACTGACCTTGTCAGACAGAAGAGAGAGAATAAGAAGGGAAGATAGTGAGCTGTTGCTGACATTGCAGAGCGGGTCAGAGAGAGTCTACCTGCTGACTGCTGTCTGATCAAAATGTGCTGCCTGCTTCATGAATCATTAACTTTACAGTCCACTGAGGCCTCTTAAGGTTACCTCAACATCATCCAGTCAATGGAACAGCAAAATACTAGAAATAAAACGGCAGCAGAGGAGTGTTTCACATAAAGAATACAATGAACTCTTAATGATTACCTTCCTGTCTCTGCAGGTATTTCTACATAAAAGTAATAATAATTTTATGGCTTCAGGCTGATGTCAGATCTTTTTTTTTTCTTTGTATCAACACACTTCTCATATTCCTCAGTATCATCTGTTTCCACAGATCACATATCTGTGTTGTGTTTTCAGAGGGGTTTGATGTAATGTCCTGACAGCGTTGTGTTAGAGATGCTGGTGCAGATTGTGTTTACCAAACAGGCCGCTAACAAACAAACCTTCATGCAGGTGCTGCTCGCCAAGCTCAAAGCCGACAACAAATTCTACGCCGTCAAAGTGCTACAGAAGAAAGTCATCCTGAAGAAAAAAGAGGTGGGCTCTGCTGTCCCACTGTTAAAGTTCTGGCTTATCCATTTTTAATGACAGCTGTTCCTTTCTATCTTCATCATTTTTCTTCCATCATCAACTCAGCTGCACCAAATGCTTAAAACCTTCATCTTAAAAATGATAAAAGAGAGTTTTGATTTTCAGAGACACAATGCTTTTGACTCTACAATCTGGATCAAAATATAAACTTTTTATTTATTTCCCGGCAGCAAAATATTCTTAAAAATATGAATAAATAATACAAATAATGCTGCCTTTAGACATATAAGATAAGATATACTTTATTGACTTGAGGGGAAAGATATATAAAATCTGAACTGATGCACTACAAAGACGGAGTTAAAAAGAGATTCAGCAGACTTTCTTTTTAGAGAGATCGTGATCAGGAAATCAAAATACATTGATGTAAATATTATGTATAACTACACAGCACTCTGCTGAAGTAGATGGAGGTGGAAAATATCTCCAAGCGAGCAGAGAGGAAAATGTGTGTGAGTATCTTTGAGTGTTATTAGTAAACAGTGTTTTGGCCCAGCAACACAATCTCAGTCTTATCTAATCTACAGCTTGTTCTGTACAAAGGACAGATTTTACTGCTCCTAGAAAATAAACTGAGCCACTTCTGTGTTTGTCCGACAACACAATGAGACTATCTGATCAAACACAACTTGTCCGGCTTTCATTTGGAGTGTTTGCCTCTGCTTAGTGGAAGTGTTTAGAAAAGAGTTTGTCTGTTTCATTCTGTGTCATTCTTTAACTTTCTGAAATTTCAGTTTAAACTTCTAGGAAAAGTCCAAGAAAAGGAATATTGTGACCTTCCCCTCATTAAGGTTTGCTGACTGAGTCACTGTGGGTGTAGCTGTCTATGGAGTTTGTTCCTCGCTCACTGGCTAATACTGGAGTATTTCCCCTCAAACATTTGGTCTCATTTGGGAGGAAGAGAATCTAAAACACCATTTAAGCAATTATACATGATTATTATTATTATTATTGCTTATTTATTATTATTATTATTATTATTATTGCTTATTTATTATTATTATTATTATTATTATTATTATTATTATTATTACACACACTAAACAATCAATTAAAACCCAGACAAACATTTTCTCTTCAGTTGTTTTCTTTTTTTACTCTTTACTGAAATGTTACCTTTAGATCAATTCATTTAGAAAAATAACTTTACTGAACAAAGAAATAAAAGAGAAAAAGAAGAATTTTGTGCAAATCTACACATTTTGTTTCCAAATGTGATCATATTATTATTATGAATTTATTTTAAGATATTAAAATAGAAAAGGAAAAATGAAGCAAATTAACTTTAACCTTTTTAAAATAAATAAATTAAACTAGGTTGTGTTTGTTGTTTATGAAAAGAAGTACATGCTCACTGGATTCTGTGTTTGTTAAACATAAGAAAAACCCATATATATATACATATATATATACGTAAAGACAATTAAACTGTGCTCACTTAAAGTGAAAGTGATTAAATAAGTGAAAACATTTTCTAAAATCAAGAAATAAAAACAAAATTTCCACTTCATAGCTAAAATACCACCAATTGAACTGTGTCTCAGAGACCGTAACTAATATCCTTCAGTATTCAGTGTCTTTGTTGTGTTCTCTGTATGTTTGGTGTATTCGTGGGATTGAGATTTAATGTGGTCATCACCATCTCACTCTGATGTCTTTATAATGACCACTCTCACACATGTGATGCCAACCTGGAGAGAAACAGCTGTAGTTTTCTCTGAATACCTCTTTGTCTCCTCTTCTATCTCTCATACTCCACTCCCTTATGATTCTACACCTCTCCTCTCATTTCCCTTTGACTCCTCTCTTCCTCTTAAACATCTTTACACCTCCCTCTCACTGCGCCTCTCTGGTTGTAGCTTCATCTTGTCAACTTCTTCTTGCGTGGGCTGTTGTTCAGCATCACTAAGTCCTCTTATTTCATAAATATATATGTAGTATAGTTTTTTGTCCAGAGGCATGTGTGTACAGTAACTTCACTAAAAATAAACAATCAACGTCTTATTTAGGGTCTTTTAGTCGAACATCAGAAATTACAAGACACCAAAAACCGTGTTTCTGTGTTTGTGTGCAGGTTGTCTAGCCATCCAAACAGACCACAACCTACCTACGTTTCCAACTTTTTTTTTGCTTTTCTTTTTTTAGCAAAAAAACATAATGGCGGAGAGAAACGTGCTATTGAAGAGTCTGAAACATCCGTTTCTGGTTCGGCTCCACTACTCCTTCCAGACCCCAGAGAAGCTCTACTTTGTCCTTGACTACGTGAATGGGGGAGAGGTATGTGTCTTAAAGTAAATAAGTGAATAAATAAACATAGAATACATGTTTTAATGGCATAAAGTTAAAGATTATGTGCTGGCTGCTTTGATGGAAATTCCTTCCTGAACTCAGCTGAATCTTGGACAGCTTTATTGGCTTAATTAAAGGTGCATGATTGTGTTAACCATGTTGACTTTCAGATAGTTGATGTTTCCTATAATAAAGGCCATTGTCAACATAATTAAGACTTTGTAGATTTTACGATATGTGTGTCTCCTCTGCTGCAACTGCACAGAGATCAATTAGTAACATCCTGGTAGACATGAAGCTTTATGTTTGTGTTATTTATATCTGTATTATAAAAACATCATTATCAGCAATACCATTATCATTAGAAGTGTGCTACTAATGATCACACTCATGGTCTCACTTGTATATCTGTATAATTGTACTAATCTGTGACTAATATTGGATAAAACCAAGCTAGCTTTTGTAGTATTTAACAGGGTCTAACGTTAACTAAGGCTGTTAGTATCAAACAGTTCACAGTGTCAATGAACGGGACAGTACATTTTGTTTTTTTGTTGTTCAGCCGGGACACAACAATGTCCTGATAAGTAATCCTTTATTTACACATATCAAACATGTAGCCCAGACCCTAGTTGAAAGTAGTTTTTTAAATTTATGTTTGCAAAAGAATCTCTCCCTGTACTTCCCTTGGTTTTGTCCTCTTCCTGTCTCTTTATCCCTCAAGTCTCTGTCCTCTTCTAACAGCTCTTTTTTTCATTTCTTCCATCCATCCACTCATCTTTCTCTCTCTGTCTGTCCCTCTGTAGTTGTTCTTCCACCTGCAAAGAGAGAGGTGTTTTTCAGAGCCCAGAGCGAGGTTCTACACAGCCGAGGTAGCAAGCGCTATCGGCTATCTTCACTCTCTCAACATTGTTTACAGGTCAGACCAACAGACTCAAACTCACACTTCTATTTGTTAAAACTCCCTCCTGAGTTGGCCTGAATCATAATCTATTACATCAATACTGTAGATGCTTAGGCTGTGTACTGCACAACACAAAACAGTAAATTCACTTCAATTCAGTTTTAACCTTCTATCTTGATAATCTGCTCATTTGTGTCTGTTACAGAGATCTGAAGCCAGAGAATATTCTCTTAGACTCTCAGGTGAGTCCGATTCGACACATTTGTTGCAGCTACTCAATATGTTTTAGTCTTTATTGTAGTATTTGTAATTCTACTAGCATAATACAAGTTCCTGCTTGTGTTTTGTGTGTGCAGGGCCATGTGGTGTTGACAGATTTTGGGCTGTGCAAAGAAGGCGTAGAACCGGAGGGAACCACCTCAACTTTCTGTGGTACTCCAGAAGTGAGTAAAACATAAAAACAAATTATATGATTTATCATATAACATACTGTATATGATACATTATTAGGTTTAAGAGGGTTTTTTACTTCTAATTAACAGGTGAGAACTCAACAGTGACATCAATGTGACATTTTATTACTGAAGAATTGTTAACTAACCACGTTTTAAAAAGAGGATTTACCCATTTTTTCTCTAATTCTATCTTTTCTGTCTGTCTTTCTGTCCGCAGTACTTGGCACCAGAGGTTCTTCGTAAGGAACCATATGACAGGACAGTGGACTGGTGGTGTCTGGGAGCAGTGCTCTATGAGATGATCTACAGCCTGGTATGTGTGGTTGTGTGTGGCTAATTTGGAGTGTCCAGAATAGAAAAGGTTCCTCCTCTAGGGATCATGAATGTGCTCAGAAAATTTTGGATGATGGCGATGTTAAAATATTAAAGATCCCCTCCAGACACATATTAGGACATATAATACTCTGCTTGAACAGTCTGATATGTTTTGGAGAAAACAGTATAATTTCAACAGTTGAGAATTCAACATTAGATATCTCTGAATATGCAAATGTTGTTCATTTCTAAAATTTCCCTGTTTGACACAAGATGTCTCCTACTTCACTGTAAAGTCCATTCTCAGTGTATGTGGACTGGTGGCTTCAAGTTTCTACATCACATTGTACAAGTTGCATACTGGATCCTTTTAGATTCAAACTCTGCACAAGAAAAAAAACATAGTTTTGACTGAAGGGGGACTTCTGTTCATAGCTCTGTGGATATAGTGTCGGCCTGTTGATCAGTCGGTGGGGCTAGACAGAAATAAACTCTAAACTATTATCAGATGGATTGCTATGAAGTTTGACATTCATGTTTCTGTCAGGATGAACTGCACTTAATCCCATCCTTAATCACAAATTTTAAGTTATCCAATTTGCCCCAATTTCACCAATGTTCGGATGCTTGGATGCTCCTATGGTAGACAAAACCTGATAAAGTGCTGAGAAAGTATCCTCTAGGGCAGCAGTTTTCAAACTGGGGTCAGGGGACCAACAGGGGTCCTTGAGCAGGTTGTAAGGGTCCACAGCAAAAGGAGGAATATTTGAATATTTGAAGTTGGAACAACAGGGGAACATAGGGTTGGCCGTGATCCTCGATTAAGAAACTCCTGCTCTAGGGTCCTCATCCTGACCCTGACTAAGCTATTTCACCATAAATGCAATGCTCCAACAGCCTTAGTCCGCCACGTCCTGCACATATAATTGCATTGTGTGATTTTATACTAATGATGTCTATACCCATCTCTCCGGTTCAGCCTCCTTTCTACAGCCGTGACGTCGGTGAAATGTATGATGGGATCCTCCACAAGCCGCTGCCGCTCCCTCCTGGAAAGTCTGAGGCCGCCAGCGCTCTGCTGGTGGGTCTCCTGCAGAAGGACCAGCACAGACGCCTCGGGGCCATCGCTGACTTTGTGAGTGTGTTATGTTAGAAACAATGTTCTTCAACTGTTGCTGCACTATAAAATGGATGGTTTACCAGACAAGAAATTAGCCTAGTCTTAGACGAAGGATGTTTTTTAAAGGACTTATCCATAAAATTTTGCTTTAGTCGAGCATTCGGCTTATTCAGTGTTGGGGCAACTATCCCCTAAAAACATATTTAAAGGGGTTTGGGACCTTTCCTGAGAACAGATCTGCACCCAGTCCCTCAGAAAAAATATTTTTTATTATATTATATTTATTTCTCATTGTTTAAAACAGCATCATAATTGCACAAACGTCTAATGGAGTGACAGTTTCTCCTCATAAGTGTGTCTGAATTCTTATTTGGAGGAATAGAAAATGTCAGTATAACTAAATACTTAACACATGTATACATATATAACTTTTCTTCTTTTTTTTTTACAGTTAGAAATAAAGAACCACATCTTTTTCTCTCCAATCAACTGGGACGACCTTTACCACAAGAGAATAACTCCTCCTTACAACCCTAATGTGGTGAGTTGTTTCAGGCTGTGAGCTCTAACTGCTTTTTTTTCTTTTTAGGTCTTTTTAAGTCAGTTCCTGCACTCTCTGTTTACCTTCTCAAATGTCTCCTCTACAGTCTTTTACCTTCAACACATTTTCCAGCGGCATCAGCCAACAAAACCCCTTCTTATATTATTTTCTTAATCTTAATCACTAATCTAATCTTAATCTTTACATATTTTCTTAAATCCCTTTATCCTCTTTTAAAAATAGTACAATAAATGAATGAGAACAGTTCACTATTCCAACCTCTTTATGAGGCTTCTTACTGTTCATTCACATTTTTTGACTCTTCTTGAGGTTTTTTAAGACCTCAAATCATCACTCCCCACTTATGATGTTTGTCATAAAGGTGCAATAAAGGCATATTATGAAAATAACATTTTCATGTATACGCTATCACTTCCATTTCCTTTCAGAGAGGCCCAGCTGACACTCAGCATATTGATCCAGAGTTCACCAGAGAAATGGTTCCTAACTCAGTGAGTCAAACCCCGGAGCTCAGCGCCAGCACCAGCTCCAGCTCCAGCAACGCCTTCAATGGATTCTCTTTTGTCGCCAATGAGGACAGTTTTCTGTGAGGCAGGAGTTAACTGTTCAAATGTCTGAACAGGGTGAGTGAGTGATCACATCTCTTTTGAGTTAAGAGCTCATGAACATAAGAGCTCCTCATGTACCATTGCAGAAACCCCATCTATGTGTTTGAGTACAGCAGGGATTTCCAAATTGTTCCACTTGAGGGTGTGGCAGGAAGGGAGCATGCCTGCAATGGAGACAGTTAAGGTTAAAATATGTAAACATTTTGCCTGGATGTCCCAGGTCTGTTCTCGGAGGGATAGAGAGGATCGACATGAACGTGTTACCAAATATACAGAGCTCACAAGAAATAGGAGCATCTTTAAGGTGCAGTGAAAATTATCTTTATTCCATTTATTTGCAATGGAGTAAAGAGCATGTGAGGGTGGATTTACTCAAAATATGTGTTTTATATTTCCTTTATGCACAGACTTTTATCATACTGTTTAAAAAGAAAAAATAAACACAATGTTGTCTTCCTGTGTACATCTAAACTTAGGGCTCTATTTTCCTGAAAAAGTGTGTAAACATAAGCGTAATCTCCTGGTGCAAACACTAATTTTTGCAATTCTGGTGACCACGAGAGCAACACGGTGCAGTTTGTTACAGCGTGAAAAACAGGCTGAATACATTATTAGTTTCAGAAATGCAAGAATCATCTAATGAAATCCTCTTATCCCCTTTAAGAGCAGCAGGTGGAACAAAGAGAGAGGCTGAGGTCCAAAGTAAACCAAATACAAAACATATTAATATACATCAATCTAAATATGTCAATGGCAGAATGAACAGACAGCTGATGTTTATCGGTGAAGCAGCTGCTCAAATATGGGTTCGGCTGGTTAGAGTCGTACAGTTGACAGTTCACTAAACTGAGTAGACCACAATCACAGCTGCAGTGTCATTCATCATCTCCTCTCTGGATAAGAAAATTATTTTTAAGCTCTTAAAAGCATTTAATATTGTCAATCATAAAATCCTACTCCACAAACTACAGTCTAAAGGTTGAGATGAAGCCACGCTTCACTGGTTCCACTGACGTCGCAGAGAGAACGCAGACTAGACGTCGCTGATGATACACAGTCAAGCCATCTTACCACCAGACATGGGTTGCCACAGCAGTCTATCCTTGGTCTTTTGCTGTTTACTTTATACATAAATAACTCTTAACTCTTAATTCTTCCTAATCAATACTGCAGTGTCCTTTTTCTTTTGCTGGTGATACAATTTTATATGCCCCAGGCTCCACCCCAGCCCAGGCACTGACTTCGTCTCTGACTTTGATGTTTTCTAATTATTATATAATCATAGTTTCAAATGCAGAAAGGATCAAGCACTTGATATTCTCCACCTCCACCAGTGACTCTGACTTTCCGACCATTAAAACTTTAAATGGCACCCATATTACTCTGGCAGAGTCCTACAAATACTTAGAAATTTGGCTTGGCAGCAGACTATCTTTAACTATTCCTAAACATACATGAAAGGTGTTTTTGTGTTTCTGCCAGCTTAAACCACAAAAATTGCCCTGACACTGGCTTTAAGCATGCAGGAAGATAGAGCCCTTAGTTTCCTCTGTCTCACTGATCTTATTTTAATACAATATAGATCTGAATGAACACAAACATAATAACCTCTGGGTTGAGCAGTGCTTTGAAACAGGGGTTGATGTCAAGAAAACGCAATGAAAAAGTTCACTTTTAAAAAAGTAGTTTCAACAATGCAGTGTTTGCATTTTAACACCAGTACACAATTAACATTATACGCTTTTGTCACATTTATATGCTAAAGAAAAACTGAGATGACTGGCAGCCTCTACTGGCTTTACACTGTTTTTACACTCTTCTACAGACTTCACAGGGAAACTGCTGCACTTCTGGCACAGATGCAGATGGATTACTGTGCAGCATCAGTCTCGTAAACTTCACTGTGTAATTGTCATTATAAAGTACATTAACTTCACTTTACTTACTACTTACTTACTACTACTGGTGTTCCAGTGCAAAGAGAGCTGAAGATTTCATCTGTATAAGTTTATGCAGTGACAAAAGTGATAAAAGTAAATCACATCACATCCAATATGTCTTTTTCTTAAATAAAGACAAAAAAACAAAGATGAAAAAGATAGAAATAATAGTAACAGTAATATATAACATGGTGTGTCAGTAAGGCTCTCAGTCCTCACAACTCTGGTCTCATTTGTTTATGGTAATTATACCAAAGTGTCTAAATGCATTTGTAGATGATGCACTGCTGTTAAAAAATGCTCCATGAAGCTGTTTGTTTCGTTGGACTGTGGTTTTGTTTTCTGTGTTGTTAACTGGAAACGTGTTCCAAATGTTTGTCTGGAGATTATTTTAGCCTGTAAATAGCTGACATTGATATTGATTAGTTTTGTTTTATGATACATGCTAAAAAGTGAATGTTATATTGGAAATGCTGTGTGTAACGACTGTAAATATACAGTCGCAGCTTTGCAATAAGAGTACGTACTGTAATGTGATCAGTGTAAACCATGAAGTGCCTCTCTGCCTTGGAAATGAAGTTGATGATCTATGGTGCTTGAGGTTGGCAGTGATGGGTAATATACTTGTACATCTGATGTCCCTGCATTTTATTTTCATTTTCTCATTTATATATATACACATATAATACTTGTCTTGTTGTACATTTGATATTAAAGAAACTCTTCTCTTCCAGTTCCCGAACATAGTGTGTTCCTATTTACCTCCTTAAAACACTTCTGTTGCTTTTGTTCAAAGTTTTAAATTCACAGGATACTGTATCAAATACTTTTCCATTAAACCAAATACACTAACAGGGAAAATCGTCTACCTCTAAATCATTAATGGGTAATTCTTCCGACAAGCTCTGACCCTCCTTGTTCACCATTTGCCTTCTGAAGCTGTAACCCTGCATGTCGAGCTGTTATTCCCTGACTGATCCTGTAAACAGAGAGGTTGATGTTAAAGACTGTCAGGTCACGCTGCCAGCAGCAGCATCATAGTGGGCTGATACCAACCGAAGCAAAAAATTCTAGCCTGTGTGTATGTACATAGAAAATGTGTTAATAAATCAAACAGCTGTCAAAACATTTCTGTTTGTTCTCTTGGATGAGCCATTAAACATGTGTGCATAACAGAAACATAATGTAATGTTTGTAATTATGTTATCAGTGAGCAGCTTGTAAATGTCGGATGTTATAAAAAGTCACAACATCTGAATGACGACGTACAGGATTGCTGCTATAGACTATTAATCTACATGGTAGGTTTAGAGGAGTGTATTAAGCCATAAGTGGATTTTTTTTTTAATCAAAATCAGACCCTTTCATGGAGGTGAAGATATAGTTTTAGTAAATGGATCTTGGGATGAAACTTGTCTTTAACAACTGTTAGTCAAGCGTACTATGTGAATTTCATTACCGAGGCCTTCAGTCCTCCACTGTAACTAACTAGTACAACATTGCATTGATCGGTAACAACATATCTCCCTCTTGCCGAGTAATTTTAGTCTAAAATTGAGTCCGTAAACGTTAGTTTTCTTATAAAAAGTAATATAATCTGCCAGTAGTGGAAATAAAAAACATATTCCCTATTTAAATAAGGTTTTATGACTTGGTTACAGACAGAAATGTCTTTATAAGATTGGGGTTTTGCAGATTAAACAGTATAAAGTAGTTAGAATCAGTTCCACCTTGATCAACAACAAGTGCTGCTCAAACATTAATGCATCAGTGATAATTCTATAATATATGTAACAAAAGAATATAAAAGATCTGAATACTTACTTATTGAAACCACTTCCTACCTTTTTTTGGATGATTCTGTACTTGATTAAATCCTGTCTGATCGCTGCCCAGTGGACATTACTGCAGCTTTTATTAGCAACAACACGGCCAATCACATCACCCTTAATGCATGGGTCGTCCAGCCATGACGTTCCAATAGTTTGGTATACAATGTGCGTGTGTGTGTGTGTTGCCAACGGTGTCGACTGTATTCATCCGTGTATGCTGCTAACAGAGCACAGTGGGATTACTGAACCCAAAACAAACAAATACACACCCAGCAGGTAACTGTGTTGTTACTTTTGTGTACAAGAGAGCAGCAGTTCGACACTTTGATGCTTGTGTGTGAGAGTTGCATCCTCTTTTGGCACGATGATAGTAGAGGCTACGACTGTGTGCAAATGTTACATACACTGTACATCAGTAAACATGTTTTGTTTTATGTTTTTGTTTTATTTGGAATCACTACTGCATCATTTTTGTACCTTAGTTGAAAAGCACACACCTCTCTGTTCTGGTAAACTGTGGCTGGGCACTACAATATTAGTACAATATTAACTTCTGAGAGATTTGAATAAAGTTCAGATCAGACGAAGCAGGAGGGTGATTATTGTGCAACTTGAGGGAGGCAACGTGCTACTAGACTATAGAGGGTGAGCACACTATTGCTCAAAGTCCTTTTGGCACCAAACTTGTTCATTACACCAACACAATGACCTTTCACACTTCAGCTCTGAACATATCATGTTATTAGTAACTTTTCTTTACTCTGACAGCTCAAACACTTCAAAGTCCCAATAAATAATCTATCACACATCAGTTTGAACCATGACATATCATCGTTACATTATATCTGACAGAGAGTGGATAAAAGGTGAATATAATGTTATCCACAGGAACACTACAGCCTATGCCCTCAAATATTATCACTAATGTGGATCAACAATATTTTTGCAATAAAAAATTTAATTTATGGACATTGAATTGGATTATGTGATATGGTACAGGTGATTTATTACTTTCCTTACCAGTGTCTGAAGCAAATAAGAGAAAAGTAGTAAGTGCCTTTAGTGGCAGTGGTGGGCTAAAGGTGAGGGAAGTAGGCTTGAGTGGTGAAAATGAAAGAGCCCTCACCACTGAGGTGACCTAAAACAAGACCCTTAACCCCCAGCTGTGGTTATACTGGGCAGAGGGAATGTGTGTACAAACATTAAAACAGCAAACACCCATATCACATGGAATAATGTTAATCAGGATCAATAACCACTATAAAAATGAACAATTTGTGAGAGAGAACAGACAAAATCATTACAGGTTTATAATTATATTTTTCTCCACTAAGTTGTATGTGTTTAGTGTTGTGTGATAAAATCCAGATGATAACTTTATATAGCAACGTAACAAATTGGTTCTCAAGAAAAATAAAACAAAAGAATAGAAAACTATGTAATAAATCAATCACAACAATAAAGCAAGGTCATGATCAGAAAAGAGGCAGATCAAAGTTTATCTTTGCACACACTCACTTACACAAACACATCACTGCCAGCAGTGGTCACCTTAACCAGCAGAGACTCATTTTAATTGTTCAAAGTGATCAAAGTATCAATTACTGATCCTAACAGACACACCTGTTCACCTGGGGGAAGACAACAGCTCACCATCTACATTACTGCACAACTGCCCCACTTAGTGGCCAAAACGAGGAACACACACACGAACAAAGTGATTGACTCATTGATAGAATTTAATGTATGAAAATGCTCAAGTCAAGGCTGCTTCATACAAACAAACAAACAAACAAACAAACAAACAAACAAACAGAACTGTGTGTAAGTTAACCACAGTTACACATCCGTTATTTGGGCAACAGAGTTTTACTAGTTTTGGATAAAGATCGCAACATTAATGTGACAGTAAGATGCAAACCCTGTGTCAACAATAAACATTCAAAAATATGTTGTTTTCTCTGATATGGAAAGGGCCGTTAACGCGCTGGAAAGAAGGCGGTTTAAGAAAGTGTACGAGGTAAGTGTGAAGGACCAACAGTTGCTTAGCAACACTGCTGAAGAAAACAGGGAGGACGTTGAAACGGTTGGAACAGACAAAGTGAACGAGACTGTACAATTTATCATCTGTGACCTCATAAAGGCACACACACACACACACATACACACACACACACATACACACACACTCACACATACACACACACACATACACACACACACATACACACACACACACACACACACTGCCTGGAAAATTAATGTTATGAATTATGACACGAAGCACAGCCAGGACCTACATGTGCCACAATAACACCGTCCTTTGAGAACTTATTGCCGGAGACAAACCAGAAATCAATCTGAAATAAATAAAATGATGCTTACATGGATCAGACTTTGTTGTTATTTTCGACACAATGTTGTGATAATAATTTATGAGTTTTACCATTTATGAAAATATGAACCTATCATAGGTTAATGTTGGTATGTTATGGTATTAATTTAACAGAAGTTAGGTGACGTTTGTATGAGTCTATTTATATGGGTGATTAGCCTGTAGCATATAGCCTAGCATAAATAACTTACCCACTAGTGACGTGAAGAAGTTAATTTAAGGTTAGTTTTAAGGTTTAATGCTCAACTAGTGTCTTTACACGAGAGTTAGAGCAAAGTTTAAGGATGTTAGATGAGACTGTTTATGTTTTTAAACATATGTGTTTATGTTAATGTCGGAGGGGAGCCAACGTCTGCGCAACAGCGGCCGTTAGCCGTTAGCGTCGGTTGAAACCGTCACTCACACGGATCGTTTCCGGGGAGTGTGTGTAGCTCTGTGGTCGTGGTGCTCTTGAACAGACCACTGATTTTCAGTCCCGGGTAAATGTCTAATGATACAGCGCCACAAGTTCCTCAACTGGTTCTGTTAGTTCAACAATCAGCACACATTTAATTCAGCGTATGTCATTCGAGCTTTTGTGTATTCCTGAAAAGTCACTTTGTTTTAACGTTAGTTAACTGTTGCAGCTAACGTTAGCAGTCGATAGCTCCGGTCTGCATCTGGAGCGGACTACAAACACAGGAGGGATGTCGCGCGGGTAAGTGTGTCTGTGGATGTTATCATTGACTTAATGCTATTTGTAAAACGTGTGTGTTTGTGCTATGATCACGATGGACAGGTCTCACGGCGGTAATAATTTAAATGTACCCGCCGTTACAGTTGTTAATCAAGTGTGGTTGTTTTGTTTTGTTTTGTTTTGTTTTGTTGTGTGTGCGCGAGAGTGTGAGTGAGTCCCTCATGTCCGTTAAAAGCCGTTGTTGTGCTGTTGTGTCCCGGTAGTGAGCTGGGAGAGCTGGACCCGGCTGTATTCCAGAAACAGCTGCACAATCTTCAGGTTAGGTAGGCATTTCTCTTCCCCCTACTGTCTCTGTTGTTACTGTCACTAATATCGACATTTTCAGAAACACCTCATTTCACCTACACCAGCGTTGTTAGGTGGGCAGGGTTCGTGTATTGGCGTTAATCCGCCGCTAGGGGCGTCACACGTTCTCAACTAACAGTCAACGTTTCCTTCAAGCGTGTTCAGCGGACCTGCTAGCCAAGTTTGCTAGTTTGAACTCATAGCCGAGTTACAATGTAAGTTCATTAGTTTGTCGCTCATTTTTGACAAATTAAGCCCAATAATTTAGTTTTAAGAATTGCAAAGTGCACTGTTGAGATATATACCTGAACGTTTCATGTTTTTGTCGCGGTATTTCGTTTGGTTGGCAGCAACTGATGTTAGCTAGTAAGCTATCTCAGCTTTTCTGTGGACCGTTAACGTGAGGTCGTTTGGTAACTTACACAATATATAATGTAATGGTTGTCAAATAGGTTGTGAGACGGGAAAGTTAAATTAAAGGCTTTGTAGCTACAGAAGGAAACGACTACAAGTTAGCTAACATTAAATGACAATGTAGTTATATTTTGTTTTTTATGTTTTATTGGTATGTTAAACATTCATGTTTTAACTGTTTACAGCTGTTGTGGCAACTTATTGAACGCAAAGTTTCAAATGTTTTCCCACTGGTAAAGGATAAGAGAGTAAAACTGGATTCCTAATTTTCTAATAGCAATATTAATAGCAAACACCTTCTAATATAATGAAGCTCAGTTCAACACCACTGCAAACTACCACCTCATTCATAAACATACAGTTAATTAATACCTCTCTAACACTGTCAATCAAAACTGAACATCATTATCTTAGTGAAGGTAGAATATATGGCAGAGCTGTTGTAGTGGATTGTTTTATATTTTTT